TTACCTGTTAGCTGCTTGTCACGAGTTGTCGTGACATGAGGAAGGTTATGTTGTTACCCAGTTAAGTTTAGTCACGGTTTGGTCACGGTTTAGGATGGATTGGGTATTTAACCAGCGACCGGCGATTGTAGATATCGCCGGTTGATAGGCCTTTTCGCCGCAGTGGTTAGTATCACTGTTCCGTTGGGCACTGTTATACAGCCGGATGCTGGTTAGTCATGGTCTGTGACACTGCTCAGCACTTATTGAGAGTGATGAGCAGGAAACAGGTCACAAACTAACTATCTACTGATCATCGGAGTTACCACAAGTCTCGGATATACGAGTGTGGCTATGTGACTGTACCCTACCAATTCCGTCGGTTGGACGGCTAAAGTGATTTGCGAAGGATCCGGGCAGGTCGAGATGACAATAAGAGTGTGTGTGATGGTGTGGACAGGGGTGATGTTGATGAGGGATGTGTCGGATGTAAGTTGTTTGTCAAGAAGAGGTCTTTTGCGAGTGGCAAATAATATATTGATCCTTGAAGAAGGAAAGACTGCAAGAAGACTATGACCAGTATTTATCGTTTTTAGTGAGCTCTTACTCGCAAATCGTCTCGCTGATCTCGCCAGAGATCTCGCCTGTCTCGCCTTGCTTCTCGCTCTGTCTTGCCTGACATCTCGTCTATCCCACCTCAAGTCTCGCCTATCTCACTTTACATCTCACCTGTCTCGCCTGGTATCTCACCTATCTCGCCTGGTATCTCACCTGTCTCGCTTGGTGATGTCCCTGAATTCTCAGGGTCCAAGGGGCACGAGCCAAGGACTTGCAGGGTCGTGACAGTCACCCTTCCTGAGTGCAGTCCAGTCCAGGTCCCTCTAGTCCTGTCAGACAAGCCAGAGACCTCATTGGGTCACAGCCCTATTCCATATTGGACTCAGTCTTGATTATGGTCAGTGCAGATCATTCTACGAATGGCACTAGACATATCATCAATCTAGTTCATTGTCACGAACCACATCGTAACATCCCTGACAACCACCGTCACCGACCTGTCACGAACTGCGTTGTGACACCTCGATTATTCCACCAACAATGACCCTCCTTTGACCATCAAAACCCCCATCACGCCTTAACCTCTTTACTCTACACGTAACTCAGGACATCTGAGACCAAGTACGGCGAAGTTAGATGGAGTTAGGCTAGGTAGGGACAATGGGAGCAGAAGTGCGGCGAAGTTAGACGGAGTTAGGCTAGGTAGGGACAATGGGAGCAGAAGTGCGGCGAAGTTAGACGGAGTTAGGCTAGGTAGGGACAATGGGAGCAGAAGTGCGGCAAAGCTAGACGGAGTTAGGCTAGGTAGGGACAATGGGAGCAGAAGTGTGGCGATGTTAGGCGGAGTTAGTCGAAGGAGGAAGAGGATGGCCGGGGACTCGGGGAAGTTGGACGAAGTGCGTTGAAGTACGTCAAAGCGCGAGAGGGTTGGATGAACGTCTAGGAGGAATAGATAATATTAGCTGAGAAGATCGCTGAAGTTCTTCAGCAATCCTTGATTGTTGTCAGTAGTGAAAGACAGATAGAGAAAGCTATATACAAATCAAGATACATCGCCATCAGTAGAACAAACCCCCAGTTAGAGTAACTACGCCGAAGCACGCCGTAGTTACACTCCTTTCGACGTCTGCGCCCTCCTGGTTGGGTGAGACATCGACTTAGAAGCATCAAGTTATCCGAGGTTCGTCGACCGTCGGTCTGATAGAGAGTAGTCGTTCGACAGCCGTGACACAACCCTCCTTTCACCATCACCAACTACCACTGGAACCACTGAGACCGACTACGGCGAAGTTACGAGAACCAAGAGGGTATTTGTCACGATAACCCCGCCTCGCGGAGAGGTACGGCAAAGTTGAGTGAAGAGGACTGAGCGCGAGGCTGTGCAGGAGTTGAGGGACGTTCTATGAGAAGAGAGGAGCAGTATAGATAGTTTACAGATCGCTGAACTTCTTCAGCGATCCTTGATTGTTGTCAGTAGCTACAACCATCGAGTTAGGGAGAGCTACCACCGAGCAGTTCGACGCACCACGGTGAAGTTAGCCGCAGTTCATCGACGATCACCTTATCATTTTACCACTCGACGGATTACTATGGCGAAGTTAGCTGTAGTTCCCCGACGAGTACCTTGTCCTAGTGAGACATCAACGCCCACTACGACGTAGTTAGCCGAGGTTTGTCGACTGTCGGTCAGTAGAAGAGAAGAAACGACGATTGTGACATTCATACCTTCCTGGTCATTCCTAGTCCTAGTCACCTTGTCCCAGGGTGGGCTGTACCCTTGACACCCTAGTTAGAGTAACTACGTCGAAGTACGCCATAGTTACACTCCTTTTGACGTTTGCGCCCTCCTGCTTGGGTGAGACATTGACTCTGAAGTGTCACGACCCTGCAACCTCAGTTGTGACATCAGGTTATAACCGGATCACAATCATAGGGCTGTTTGTGATATTGTACCTTTTAGCGCAGTGGCATAAGGTGTCACATGCATGGCCAGTGTATGGCCTGGTGCTGGTTAGCCAGGTTGTAACAGAAGTGTCAAGTTAGCCCAGGTTTGTCCACCGTCGGTCCGCTAGAGAGAAGTTACTGGACGGCCGTGACATTTGGGAAGGTGGAGCCAGACACAGAATGTTCCAGTGTGTGGAGGCTTGATAAGCAAGTGGAGGTTCAGGTTGAGGCAATGGTGGAAAGTTCCAGCATGTGGAGGTGGCGGTGGCGGTATTCAGAGGCATGTGTTTCAAGTGTCTGATTGTGCAAAAGCAATTTGACAAGTGGCAGATAGGCGATGTATGACACAACCACCCTAACCCCCAAACCCCCTAATGGTAACCCATCAACATGGCCCCCACCTGATGGTGGAGGCCCAAGCTGTGTAGGAAGTTAGACATGTCAATTCTATGCATCTGGCTCATTAGGCACCCAAAATGTTGTGTGGGAAGAGATTTTGTGTTGTGCGGGAAGTTGGGTTTGTCGGTCCGTATGCATGTTCAAGCGTGTACAATTGGTGCAATATCTTCACTAAGTCTAGAGATTGAGACTTTTAATCTGTTCAAATGTGTACAACGAGTACTGTTATGATGATAGTAAGGAGTTGCATCCAAGACTACAATCACAAAAATTGTATGACCAATCCGTATCGCGGTTACGTGGTATTACTACCCCCTTTCCCGTGGTGGGTGGATCCAAATCTCTTCCCCCCCCCCCCACCGCCACCACCACCACCAACGTTCAACTTTACTCTCGTCAATTGTCTATCCTCACTACAAGAAAATTCTAGTCCATATTTCCCGTATTTCATGTCCCGCGTTCTTGACCCGAATCCCAAGGCCGGATCTTCCACCTTGTAATCATCTATCATGTCCGTTAACATCGGGAACCCCAACTGAGATTCCCCATAACTCCTCCTATTCCCTCCCACGTCTCCTTTACCCGATATTCCCAATCGACCTCCATTTCTCATCTCACCTTCTGCCCGTTTCATCTCTCCATCCCTCCTTCTCCTCTCACTTTCCATTCATACGACTGACGCCTACGACTCTTCCCACGATCACTTCTCCGCGTTTTTTCATACACTTGTCTCTCACGTTCCACTTCCCTTCACATCTCTTCCTCCCACTTCTCCCCTCCTATTTTTGGAATATGAAGGTTCACGCGGTTTCCTCGAACTCTCTTTTCAAACTTTTATTTGAAAGGTCTTCCAACTACACTTCTCACGACCCACGGATCAAGGTAAAACATGTCCAACGTAAGCTCCGATAGAATATACTCAGCAACTACTATCAACACTCATCCTCTCTCCTTCCCCCCTTCCTTCCCACGGACGAGGTCTTCTAACTTAACAACCAACAGGAAACGTTCTTCCAACCGGCGAGAGTCGGAGTAAACATCTAAACTTCTTCACCATAAAAGACCATGCATTCCACGATCCCTCTTCATCCCATCTTTATTTCGCCACCTGACACCGCTTGAGAAACAACCGCTAAGAGCAATAAAGATTCGGGATTTGAACATGACAACAATCACGCATAGCGGTTTTCGTCCCGGTGAACTCTTTCGTAGTAATTCACAAGGCTCCCAGAACAGTGAAGCGACGTTGGTTCCCGACGGGGACTTCGATACCGACACCAATCTTTCCCCCTACAATGAGAAAGACGAGTATTTTGGGAACGATCCCCATGTCATCAAAACCAAAGCTTCTTCCCTCGACGAAGTCACCTTCACGGCTGATGGAGCTGATGGAGAATTGGCCGGTAGGAATATAGACTTGTCGCACCTCACTCAGAAGCATCACTGTCATCAGTCTGATCCTGTCGACCAGCCTGACCCTTCACATAAAAGTAACCTCGTTGAATACACCGTATGCAGCGATGTCCAATACATTCCAATGAAAACGGAAGAGGTGTCAGACTGGCCCACTGTCTTCGATACGGATGAAGATTCCATTGACGAAACACTCAATCTCAACCCAACGAAGCAGACGAAGGCTGAACCAGATGTCACTGTGACAATCACCATCAATCTCATACCTGTGGATCAAGAATTCAACACCGGTGACGTTGAGAGGTGGGATGCTACGTATCCAACTATCATGGAGCAGATCGCGACAGAGTTCAAGGAAAAGAAAAGTAAACGTGACACGATCGGGCCAAATGAGGTAATAGAGCTGGCAAGAGCAGCCATCGAATCCATTTGGGTGGAGAAGAAGGGGAATGCGTTGCGATGGGACGACGGAAAGACAGGGCATGTTTCAGGGATGGAACAAGGACCGATGTGTATCCCTCTTACCTACGACGGATTTCAGGAATGCGACGTACCACCGTCCGAGTATTGGAAACACTTGGGAAATCTCAGTCTTCTCAGGAGAACACTCCGTGCCAGCGAAATCTCCGACATGACAATACGAAGAGAGTGTGAGTCACCTGCGGATATAGACTGACTTATTCTTCACCGTGTTGCCGCAAGCCCACACAGACACAACTTAGATGCATTTGGTCTTTGATGCCTTAAACAATCAGTTGTACAATGAGCTTTGTAGTGTGACCATGCCGTCCCTTTGTCAGTGAACATCCCCCTACATCGATCCGAGATGCACATGTCACATTGCCATGAGCCGACCCTCTTCTATCCTGTACTATACCTCTCTATCATTTGCTCCATGCGTCAAACGCCAATTCCTCTGCGGTCGGCTCGGGCAGTGTTACCCCGTTCATCTCGCGCAGCCGCCTGCTGGATTCTTCCGCCGAGTTTCGGATGTACCATGTCATCTCGTATGTTTTTGCAGCGTCGGCGTAATCGCACAGGATGCGGGAGGCCCCGTTGCCATCGATCTGAGATCAGTACTGCCTCATGACTAATGACATGTCGCTCCCTCATTCTCTGACCACACAATGAAGTTCTGGAAGAGAAGAGTGGAGAGTGGTCTTTGAACCTACCGCATCGATAAAAGCATCCACTTCAGTTTGATAAGGATCATCTCCGGTCAATTGTATGACCTCGGGGATATCGGATCCGGGCTTTCGGATGGACAGCGAGGGGATACCGAATGGATCTTGCAAGCTGATTCATTAGTACAACTCTTTGGTAAAGACACGCGCCTCACATCAGTTGATACTGAGGGTCAGCAATTCGTCTGAGATGCTATTATTGTAAACTCACCCCATCGGCATAGACCTCGAGCTCGACAGCGTAATCGACACCGTGCAGAACAAGCGCGTGCACGACGGTACCGACTGCTCCACTCTTGTACTTCCTGATCAATCAGCATCTATGCAATTAGGTCGATCCGTAACTCACCAACACGCAGCCGTCGCACGAGGAATACGGTGCTTGAGTGGAACTTCCGTCTCGTCAAAGGAGATCTTGCTGAGATTAGATGCTGGTTCTTCGTATGCCTCCAAAGCGTTTGCCCTATGCATCAATATTTATTCTTGTACAGATAGGTGATGATCTCTCCACTTGAATCACAAGCCTTGAGGCAGGAAATGGACACTTACGAAATAGTCTCAGGAATGACATCTCCTCCGAAGTGTCGGGAAAGATCACCTGCAGGTCAGTCGAGAATCACCAATCCAAGGTTAACGGACAGATGTGCGTAGCTTGTTCGACGATGGGACCTTGAAGCTTGGTAACGTCCCACCAGGCCTGATAGTCAGCCGGGATAGGGTGATGACCTAACGACCAGCTCACACTCTTTGGAGACAACTCGTACGCCGAGATATATCTTGCCATAGTAGACATGACTCTCAAGTTGTTCTCTTTCAAGATCTTCTTCATTTCTAGAGCCGCTTTGGCATAACGCAGGCAGTATCTTTGAGTTAGCCTCAGGCCACTTGACCGTGTAAATGATTGCTCTCCGGTAAAAAAACGAGGATATGGTGGAGGCAAGAGGGTGCGAAAAATGTGACATGTGGGGGATAGTCCATCAAAAAGACGTGATGACTGACCCAATCGATACGAAGCCCGGATGCTTTGCGAGTCTGTCAGCTATTGTTTTGGCGTCGGACACGCTCTTGTCCCACGGTACAGCAGTAGCGACTGGCTTCTCGAGGAAGATGTGGATTTTCGGGAACGCTTCGATGAGTTGTATTTCAAGGTCGCGACCTGGTTCGAGAGATCCTCGCCAGACGGGAGGAGACGCGACAAAGGCGGCACTTTCAATCAGCTCTTCCCACCACCAGAGTAGGATGTCAGAATGGAGGTCGCTACGCGGTGGGCAAAAGAATCAATCTGAGTACTCACTCTGGCGTCTTGACTTTGCCCTCCTTGATAGCCTCCGCAAAGACAGCTATAGTTGGGTACACCTCAGTACCTTCATAAGAATCCTTCACCAAACTGGTTTTCTTCTTCTCCAGTGCTGCTAGAGCACGACTAGGATCGGGGTCGATTACACCTTGTACCTTGAGTCGGGGACCGAGACGGTGTTCCAACCGAGCGGAGAGGTTCCACGGGCCTGGTGATCAGTTGAAGTACCATACACGAACCCAGTGGTGATTCGACGATCTAGGCGTTTCATGATCTGGAGCAAGGACAAGCACGCCTTGCTAGTGAAGGAGAGTTTGAGAAAATGAGCGCGTAGGACAAGGGCAGGAGATGGGCAATGTGGAGAAGAGCGTACTGAAGACTGACCTTCTGTACTACCAAACATGGCCTCGTTGTCAGCTCAGGCGAGGAAGCTGCAAAATCGGAGCTCACCCCTCCTCCGCCAACCATGATGACGTTGAGCTCTGGTCCGGTGGTCTCTCTGTGAATCAGCTATAATCACACGATTGCTATAGGTCGGTGTCTTCAGACCTCGACCTTCTTTGAGAAGAGGACGCATTGTGAAAAGTGGAGAGGATTAGCCTGATCATGTCGAACGTGGGTGGGATGTGGGACACATAAAATGCGAGTCTATCAAATATGGGAAAGGGAAATTGATGACCAGGGGAAAGAGGGGGGGGCAACGAGTGACGAGGAGTGGAAGAGAAGATGTGGAATGACGCTGACAGAGGTGTGTTGTGTTCATTCGTGGAGGTGTCATTCTGTTGGTAGTATGACAATGTTCCATGTCCCACATTCTAGCTAGCAAACGAGAGGCGAGTGGAAAGCAAGACTCACGTCCCATTCTGTCCAGTGGTAGCAGCTTTAGTAGCTGCCAAATCCCTCAGGCCCATGTTGTAATCTTCTTCCAGTCTGATACGAAGTGACAACTACCAAGTCTGAAACCTGGAGGTATAAATTATACCGAGGAGGAGGACCCACGACGATGGCACGATAAAGGCAGTGCGTAGGCGCATAGAGGGAGAAAGCCCGATAGTATGGTAGCACGGTAGCATAGCCGAATCCCCGGATTGGATCCCCATAGATGGCGCCATAGAATGATAGATTGATGGAGGTCATGTCGATCGAGATGGGGGTGAGATCGAGAAGTCCAGAGGTGTAGTGTATTGGAGTCGTAGTTTCATGGGATCATGGGTCAATGCGTCGTAAATCGTGGGGAATGTGTAGTGCAGGATCGTGGTATCGTGGGGATATGCGATCGTGGGATAGTGGGGAATGAGGCATAGAGTGGAAGAGAACGAGTAAGTTGCGTCAGCTTTCGGTTCAACTCATGCGAAAGTAATTGACCTACCCCTTCTTCCTTGTTTTCCGGCAACTGTTAGGAGTGATGGTGATGAGACGTACGAGATGGGATGTACACAGATAAAAAGTCAGTGTGGAATGTTCACGTTCATTTTGACAATCTCCTCGGCCCGGCCGACCGTGACCGATTGCATAATTGGGTAGCTTGGCCAGGAATGTGGATTGCAGGTGATTTGATGGCGTAATGCGAGTGTGTTAGCACGAATCTCGTCCGGGATCGGATTAGTTCCCGAGGTTTGTAATCCCGATGGTACTAACCGTCCTTCTTTACATCTGTAAATATAGCACATTAGGACAGACATCTGGTGATACTGACGCTTGTAGACATGAGTGAAAAACAGTGATATGACAGGTGCATATATGCAAAACTACTCAAACTCATTACTATTCACATTGAGACGGGAAATTAGAACATGCTAGTACGTGACCATCATCATTCTTCGTCGCTTTCGTCATCAGCTTCGTCGAGCCACTACGAGTCAGCTATCAACCCACTGCCACTCAATACCAGCAACTTCTATGGGTGGAAGTGTGGTAACGGAGACCGGTCATGATAGGAGCGATATGAAAGGCATAAAGGATAGACTTACCTTGATAAAGACATCGGCAGACTTGCGGACTTTCTTGGAAGTTTCCTTGTCGACATACTTTTTGCTAACGTGGGTTCCCCATTGACGCACAAGCTCTTCGTCTAGAATATCACCCTGGTAGAGTACCATGAGCACCTTGGACACTGCACCAGAAGCTATGAGCGAATCCGACGAAGGGGAGTGGGCAAAGAGACGTTCCAGACCGCCAAGAAGAGACTTCTGATGTTTCTCAGAGGTGACGAGCTGTTGATCAGCTTTATGAACGTCAACGTGAGACTCTGCCACTTACAGCTTGTAGAAGGTTCACCCTCTTAGGCAACTGCGCCACGACTTCATCTGTGAAAAGATGCTGGCCGACCTCGAGAAGAACCTTATGTTTTCCAACAACACCGATGTCTTTGATCTTTGCGACGACGTCGGCATCCGACGCATCCGTGTTATCGATGAGCCAAGCACGTAGGACACCCCATGGGGATCCCGCGGCGTCATCATCGTCCTCATCGGCATCGCCGTTGGCGTGACCGTTGCCGTTGCCGTTGACTTCAAGCTTCGATAGCTTCTTAGTGACTGCTTCGGCCGCGTCAGGGTTCTCAAGGATCGGGTCGGATTTGCCAAGAACGGCGTCGATATCAGTCCCACTAGTCGGAACGCCCATATTAGCGCCAGGTGAAACGACGGGACTTCCTTCTTCGTCCGCATTATCCGAACCGCTTTCGACTTTGTCAAAGACAAGAGGACCGCCGACGTTGACTTCGGCTGTCATGCCCTTCTTGCCACCCTTCTTGCCTTTGTCCTTTTTCTTAGGTGGGTTCTTGAGGATGAATGTGACCAGTTTATGACGCATGTCGATTCCGTTCTGCCTTCCGCAAGCTTTGCAATCCCGATGAATGTCTTCATGACCAGCCTTGCCAGTAATGACCAATTCGGTTTCCGGGTTCTTGCACGATGGGCAAAGGACATACTTTTCGATGAAAACGTCGAGAAGTTCACGCAGACGATCGCCGGTGTGAGCGCCATTGACAATGTACCTATCGTTGGCGAAAGATGTCTGCGCCCCGAGTTCGCAACCGAAGAACTTGGTGGAGTCTGAAATGATCAGCATGCGGACGGGTGTATAGTGAAGACGACCACTCACACGTGGGAGGCCGGTTCAAAGCACGAGCGATTTCTTCCATATTGGGAATGACGGTCTTGATACCGTTACCGCGACCTTCAATCTTGACTTGCAAGACTGGCATCTTGTAGCGCTGTTCTGTCAGTGACTGATCAAGCAGACGAGTACACTTAACTCACGTAAAATTTGTCGTCGACATCGCGACGAATATTGACGGTAGCCATTTTGTTGGGTGAAGTATTCTGTCATAGGTTAGCTGAGTGAGAAATCTTCGAGAAGAGTGCTCACGATTAACGACTCCGACAGTTATGAGATATACCCCGGGAAAACGTGGCGAGATTCGGTTTGTGGGGTGACAAAGGCAGCATGAACTCGCAAGGATCTATACAGGGTCAGCATGAGTCATCGCCACTTGTCCCGAAGAGTGGCGTGCTGATGGACACAGTGGAGATGTGAAGTGAAGGAGGGCAAGAAGACGGAATAAGACTAACCTGGACGTTGTCTGTGGGGCGTATGACCTCCTGGACTCCAAGAGAACAAGACGGGATGGTGAGCTTGGGCGAGAGACCTGATCTTGGCTTCGGAGCGCGTGGCTCGATGAAAGTCAAGAGTGAGGGATGGAGAGTGCAGAGAGAGACGATCTGCCGCTGAAATACGAAGCAGCGTGAAGAGTTCTGAATAAGAGGTAAAACGTTGAAGGGGTTGGTTGGGTTGTATGAGGTTGTGCGGCGTGTGAAATGTGGACAAAGAGATGAAAGGACAAAGCGGGCGGCGATGGAAAAAAGGTAGAGAGCGGTGAGCCTGACATTGGCCTCAGTTTCGCCCGTTTGAGTACATATTGGATGTCAGGCTGACTATCTACCCCTTTTGGGTGAGACCCCCTTGGCTCCTCTCAGTTGCTCGATTGGGATGAAATGATTGCATCTCATGTCTCCTTTGAGGGACGTGGCTGTCGAGCTTGTCTGTGCATCATGTACAGTAATCGATAACGAGAGCTCCATGCCTCTTCCCATAAGTATGTCACAAGCTGCTGTCTGCTGTCTGCTAGAGTATCTGCACCGCATTCAACTCTCGCCGTCGTTCGGGGCTTTACGCAGCTTACCGCCTCCACTTTCTCGGGTGAAAAAGACTCGCTGCTTTACGCTCCATCCTAATCGTTTCATCTCGAACTAAGTATTCTAATCAGCCCCCCATATATCATACATACCCCCCCTGTCTCGGGGCAATTCGCCGCATGCCGCACAGACGGTAGTCGCCTCTCGGATCACGTGACATTTTAAACCGCCAAGAGACGATTGCTGCGGAGCGACGTTCCGTTTGAGTGAAGTACCGGAATTCATATAGCTTTCCCATCTTACACTGCATTCCTTTTCCTTCTCTTCATTTCATCAAGGTGCGTCATGCGTCATAACTACTAATCCCCTTGTCAAGGTCGTCAGCTGATGTTCAGATTTCATACAAGGCTTACAAGACGGATAGCATTTACACTTCATCGTCTTTCGATACCCATCATGGGCTTGAGGCACAAGATGAGATTTCCCATTCCCACACACCCTCCCATGTTCTCGCTCAACTCTTTCTCGAGAGAACGACATAGATCACCTGCACCACCACCTATTGATCTCTCCGTCGACTCCGGAAGAGAAGCAGATGGACAAAGTCGGTTTCCGAGTCCATCTCGTATACCTACTGTCCCACCTCCACCTTATGAACCCAATACGACTGATGCGACAACTTCGATGGTGGATGACAAAGATCTGAGTCTTATCGTCATGTTCCGTCAAGACTATGCTCAGGCTCGATTATATGTGAGGGAAATGGATTTTCGGATGGCTATGCGGAAAGCTCTCAGGAGACATCTTTACAGTGAGTAACCGTCTGAATTGTATTCTTCTCTTCACGCCGTACCTTGTCCATTGGTCGCCTTACAATATCATAAATGTAGGCGGATAGCGAGTGAGCAAAGATCGAAGAGGCGAAGATTGATGATCAGAATGGTACGCTCTAGCAGTCATCATCATCTCCCTCACCGTCCTCCTCTCTGCGAAACACGAAAGCATCGTCGATTTCTTGAAACCTGTCACTCAGAAAATCCGATCTTGGCCGATGGGATGGCTCGTTCCTCTAGCCTTACTCGTGGTCGTCAGCTTTCCGCCTTTGTTAGGACACGAGCTCATCGGGGTTCTATGTGGTCTGGTATGGGGTTTAGGAATTGGGTTTGGGATCCTGGCTGCAGGGACCTTCTTGGGAGAGATCGCTGTGTGGGTGGCGTTTAAGTGGTTCTGTACTGCTCGAGCAAACAAGTGAGTTTTGGATTATTTAATTGTGTTATCATCAACCCTTCCTGACTATATCTCATATGTGTCTCACAAATAAAGAAGATTGGTGTCACCAAGCTAACGGACAGATTTGAGAGAAAGAACAAATTATACGCCAGTTTAACGCAACTCATCAGAGAAAAGGTCAGCTTACTACTTCCGTTTGCTGATGACACTGAGCTGACAGAGCAGAGCTTCATGTTTGTGCTCGTACTACGTTTCAGTGCGGTCCCAGGACACATCACGACTGCTGTGAGTGAATGCTCACACAGATTGCAAAGTTGATCTCCCAGGTGTCTGCATCCGCCGGTGCAAGCTTTGTCGCTTATCTAGCCGCTGCATTCCTCACTCTACCGTAGGTTGTTTCCGATCATTCTCAACTCCCTTCATCCCCCTCGACCCGTCTTCGTGACCCCTTGCCTCCAATCCCCTACTCACCAGTTCTCTTTGATAGGTCAAATGGAAATGTCCACGCATCACTTGGTAAGAATCTAGCCTCCCACTGTCCAGGGTGGAGGGATGACATGAAGTATGAGATCAGACTTTTAACATTAGAATAAAGATGTGTGAGCTGATGAGGTCCAAGTAAACAACTCACCATCGTCTACCTCGGCACGGCTTTTGGTCAAAAATCCACCAGAAACACTATCATCTCAGTCATGACCACCGGTTTCACCCTTGTCGCCACCGTTGTCGCCGCTGTCTATATCTACTACCAAATGCGTCTGGTCATGCGTCGTCAAGCTCTTACCTTGCCTACTACCGCCCCTTGTCAAGAAGTCGCAGTGGAGATCGCTCAGATGCGTCTCATGTCTGAAGATGTTGATCGTCGTCTCAATGCCGCTTTACATGCTCGAAAACCTTGGCTCTTTTCTGTTGACTCGTATGCCGATTCCTCTTCCATCAATTATGGTCAACGAACTCCTCAACGGGCTTGGTCCATGCCACATCATATGAGCGAGGATGAGTTGAGGGATTGGCACGATGAACTTCGTCTGGCCCTTGGTTCAACCCAGGAAGCTTCTCAGGTGGCGGGTGGAACGTCTGTATTTTTGGATGAAGATGTTCCACAGTTGGAGTATGTCACCAGACCAAATAAGTCGAACCGATCAATCGATATAAACAATTCTCATCAACAAAAACATTCAAATGATCCGGACGATATTTTCGATCTTGATGAAATGGACAAAAAGTCTTCAGTGTTATTCACGGTCAAAGATGTTGATGCTTCCTCGACACCTTCCATTTCTCCCTCAATTTCTTTCAAACCCCTCCTTACTCAATCGTTACTTTCTCATCCAAACGTCGGATTATATCCACCTTCCCCTTCACTCGGTGCAACTCCTTTACTTGGTCCTATACGTCCAGGCTTCTCAAGACCAGTGAGCAGTATAGGTAAATTGAGCAAAGAGGATATCTATCCTTCTCGTGCGGCTAGTTTGGACGGTCATAGACCCAGTAGGAACGTAATGGGTGGGAGGGATATAGCAGATGAGGCGGATTTATATGCCATGCGACATGGAGCTAGAAGACCTGAATATGGGAGAAGTAGAGGAGATTCCAGAGCGGCATTATTAGGGAGACCGAGAGCTGGTAGTGATATCTCTTCAATTGGCGATGAGAATTTGTTGAGTGTTTCTCTTTCATCTGCCGCGGGTCCAAGTGGATTAGCTGTAGGAGGTAGGAGTAGGAGTGAATCAGGAGTTGGGGTAGGAGGAAGGAGTAGGAGTGGATCAGGTGTAGGATTGATAGGAAGAAGTAGGAGTGGATCAAATACTAGTATATTGGAATTACCACATCCTGTATTGATACCTATCCCTATGAAGGGGAAAGGTAAAGAAAGAGAAACAATCACCGAATTGCTCCTTCCGGAGTTGGGTCATAATGTCTTATCTGATTTATCCAAAAGGGAAGAAGATGAAATAGCCGTTGTGGATCACAAGATTAGGCAATCAATTTTCGATATCAGTGTTGATCATGAATCTTTGGAAACGGACAGTGGGTTGAGGAAAGGAGATCAAGATGGGAAAGAAGAGTTCGGACAAAATGGACATTTGTTCGATCGGATAGAGAATGATCAGTCAAATGAACGGTCGACTTCGGTTCCTTAGTCTCGTCCTGGGGTATACTGTAGGTCGCAAGTGGATATGGGAAGATTGATCGATACGAGTGGAGAATCCTCAATGGAGAGGTCAGTCGGTCGAGAGGTCAAGAGGTTAAGATGTGAGGAGGCCTAGAAGTTGTAAAGTTCGATTTGGGATCAGGCAGGGGAATTTGGGAGAAGAGATCTGGCATGTTATCGGAGAGTTCATCAAATACATTCAGTAAATTCGAGTAGATACATCATCAAGATTTGTGGACATTCTGTAGCGAGTTTTGGTGTACATTGATATGCTATGCTTATTCTGCTCATTCTATATCCATTCTACATGATCCGCCTCTTCTCAGTCGTTTTTGATGTCACATATGATTTCCGAGATGTTAATCCTGCCCCACCCAAACTCCTTTCCCCTCGCTTCTATTCAATCTCCCGTTAATCAAGCTTGAATAGGAATGTAACTTTACTTCATATGCCGGCCATGGGTTATGATTGGAAACGAGTGTGATATGTGTTGACTTTCTTCACATCTTGGTTCATCTATGAGATAAGGTGGGGATGGGATGAACTCGAAACATCACGATCAAACAGGTGTTGAGGTCGACGTAAACGTAAAGGTTGTGGTCGATGGAACGGGTGGGGCGGAAGGGGAGGGATAGGATTGAACATTTTCAGAAATGGGAATATGAACTTCTGGAGAATCTGTGATTCCCTCTGAATATATGGGTAGAGATATGGGTTTTCGGAATTCTCTTTCACTCCTTCCTACCGTCCTAGGACCTGAACGCCATCGATCCAAATCTGCAGAACGTTTACGAAGACAAGTTTCGATGAGTTTGGGCCAATAAGAAGTGTGATCGTATTTCCACTGTCAGGATTAGTCTGATCATTGTCTCAAACGTAGTTTTTCGCTTTTGTTCCTCTTTCAATCTTTCCATGTATCATTCTCTCGTTTTCAAGTCTTTCCATTTTTTCAAATCTTCTGTTGATGTACTGATGGCATGGGGTAGGGTGATTTTGTTTCGTTTGTTGGCCGAGGTCGAGGGCGCAAAGTTGGGAGCGAGGTATGCAGATATGAAGGAGAGATATACACGTGTAGTAGGTAAGTAGATGTGATAGAGATACAAACAGTATGAAGTAGAAAACGATACAGGTGAAAAGAGGAGAAAACGAACGAGATAGTGGAAGAGTTGAAGAGAAGAAGAATAGCAGAGAGAAAGGAAGTGAAGAGACTGACCTCCAAACTCCCACCACATTCAGATAACACGGCTTCCTTTGACATACCAGCCTCTTTCATCATCTCCATATTCCCATCAGCTGAACCGAACCTCGTTTTGTGTTTAGTGACAGGATCGACGAATGGCCACATGAGGTTGACGAAAGCTTTGACGATCCAAGGGAGATCTTGGAATATTCCAAAGGCTAAGGTTTCTGGGTAATGGTGGGATAAGATGTGTAGGGTGGCTCTGGCGGTCTGGTAATGAGTACTGACACCAGTGCAGAGTGAATTTGGTATCTACATGACATACAAAGACACTAATCAGGAGAACTTTCTGAGATAATCTCGGAGTTGCCGGGCATGTCATCACAAGGAGAAAGAGTGGGGTCTGCAAGATGCGTCGGAGATAGAGGATATGAGATTTATGAGAATTAAGAAGGGGGAGTCAGCGTTTGATGTTGAGGGAAGACCAAGGTGGATGATTGAGTGACCAAGGGAGTCGACACAAAACTCACACCAATATTCGTCGGCGGCCCTTGACGTTTCCCAGAAAAGTTGAAAATGACCACTGTATTGTTCACACCCTCACTCATCAAATCCTTGGCCCTTTCTAACATGAACACCTGCATCTCAGCTAATTCTCCATATTGACGGGATATCTTGAAAACTCGTTCAAAAAGTGACAGAAAAGTAACGCAAGTCTCATGAGATAAATTGACTCACCGCATGAACTGCACGACGTTTCTCTACTGGTGTGGTATTGCGATGCGGGAAGAAATATATTATGGGCTGAGCATGAGATGTGAAACCCAGCACTATATTCTTGCCGGTTTCCGACTGAAGGTCAGTATCATTTGCCCATCGACAGAGATCATCATGTAAACTAATCAAATGTGTAAGAGAAAGTGACAGAGATGTATATGAGAATCAATATAGAAGGACACGGAGAATATATCTGGAGATCACAATGAAAGTATCTGTGGAGTGAATAGTCGTTGAGATCATGAGACAAGTGGATGTTTGAGGAAAAGAGCAGAGAAAGAAGAAACTCACTTCTGGACCACAATCATCAGCCATAGCTTTCACATCATCTATCTTCTCGGTCCGTCGCCAAATAATGGTTTTCTCTAATCTCGCGATAGTTTCGAGGACATCCCATTTACACCCTGAACCTCAGTATCTCTTCTGTGACGCTATTGTTGTCGCTGACCAGTGAGAAATCTTTTTATCAGCTGAAATTTACTGTCTCTCTCCGATTGACTCACCTAATGAACGTCTCTTTTGACTGTCAAGTATTTAGCACAGTACCCAGATCTCTCACAGGTTCGCCAGTCTCCTCTCTCTGCATGAGCATATCCATATAGGCAAGTTTCGTCAGGTTAAGTAAAGAAGAAGTGGAGAGAAGGAAGGCGAGACAAGGGGAATAAAGCTGGCGGAAGGAGAGCAACGCAAAGCAGATGGATCTGAGAGGAGAAATTGAGGAGGTAATCTTGAATGGAGAAGAGGAAGTACTCACAAGAAACATCATTTCAACCTCATTCAACCCCTCCATAGCCTCTTCATCCTCTTTGACAGGTAATACGAAACCTTCCTTGCCGAAATGCGTTTCTAGGTCTTTCAAAACTATCATTTGTGCTGGGTTGAGTTCAGACGGAGGGGGAGGTGCGAAATCCGTCGGAGGAGAGAGTAGGTGTACAGGAAAAGAAGTCATCACTGCGTTTTATGTCCTTCCCAATTGGACGGTATCCGATCGTGGTGGTTCACCTAGTTCTTCGACTCAAGTTCAATGGATCAGTGGATCAGTGTAAAGTTGTTGGAGTACCTGTGATGAGCTGGGACGTTCAGCATACAGTCCATCGGCCTCGGTGATCTCGGTGTCGGTGAGGTGATCGAAGTTGACCAGACCAGGCACCGGTACACATGTTCTCCCCCACCTCTATTTTCGTCTCTGATTTCCTTTGCTTTCTTTTCTTCATGTAAGTAGCCCATGTTGCATGTTGCATGTCCGTGAAACCCCATTTCTACAATCTGTGACGTCTATCATCTCATCATGTGTCAACTGACTTCTGTAAGCGACTAAGAACATCAGAACTCCTTGACCCTTGAGACACATGTACGATAACATCCATTCTTTCATCCTTTTATAATGTCCTTTCTCTCGCCTTCTGCTTTGACAGTTGACTCAGCTACTCATATCTTCTATCAGCTGATATATATCCTGACGAACGGACACACTTGGTCTTATCTCGCTCAATAACTTGACATCAACACCTAAATTGACCCCATCCTTCACCTTAGTGTCAGGACCAGACGTTGAAAATAGTCTGCGTCTATGAGCTATGGCTATAGGGCCTCGCAGGGAACAAACCTAGTGATGTAGTTTATAGTCTAGTGATGTAGTGGATCGAAGAGACTATAGTCGATGAGATTGAGTGGCAAAAGATTTGCTAAGTGACGAGAAAATACATTCGACAAGACATCTACGAAAAAGGGGTGTTTCTATATACTAAAAAGGGAGCGGAGTGATACCGAAATCTACGGAGTAAATGTGGAAAGCGACATGGGGTGTAAGAGCGAAGGAAGACGGAGATAGATGAGGGACACGGAGATGAAGGAAAAGTACAGCATGGTAAAGAAGTAACGATTAGGTAGGACAGGAGAACGGAGGACGCCGTAACGGGATTAGTGAGACGGGGACGGGAACGGGCATGTGAAGTACGACTTCTGCGTACGACTCTTGAGGAACCCGTCTAGGGGTACCCGTGATCCTGACACTTAGCAATCCGTGCAGACTACATTTTGACAACCCACTGATCCACCTCTATTACGACACTGTCAATACCACTCACCTCATCAAGTGATTCCAAACACTGATTAGTATGCAAGAAGCTAATTTAACTTCCACCCAAACTCAACCTGGCATGTCGACGATTCCCACCACCTCCCCCGCCCCGACCTCTCTACCATCCTCCGAATCATCATCTGACCCCGAATCCACAGCGATCTCGCCGTCGCAAATGAATGGTGCGACCATTCGTCTATACCTGGGAGCCAGTCTCTCTCAACTTCCGGAGGACGATGCTGTGACCGTGGTGAAATTCCTCCCTTTTGCCACCCGTCGGGGTGAAATGTACTTTGCTCGACAACCAAAATTCTCCAGCCTCAACGTCCACTCTGTCACCCAAGAACAGCCCCTCTCCCAACGCCTTCAAAGCTGGGCAAGAAGCACGACTTATAATTGGCTAGAATGGGAAGACGACATACTGGATGATGAAGAGAGATACGAACGTCCCTCCGTCTTCGGGTTTATAGTCAACACCATCGCCCTAACCGTCGACACCGTATCCAACCTACCCCAAGATATCAGAGAGGCGCCGGAGCACACCCTGGCCGCTGCACATAAACGCATGACCAGGGACAAGACTTACGTGAACCGTGACTTCGAGGGGTGGGTGAGAGAGGCTCAGCTACAGGAACAACAACAGCTCAGCGACCAGTCAGACAGCTCGGCGACGGACAGCAGCGAGGGTACCAACAGCGACACCGAGAGAGATGAGGACAGTGAGGCAGAGTAGAGACATACCATGCCAGATGCATGCATCGTCAGAGAGCATCGGCGTATATAGACAAACGTGAAAAGACGAATGATGGATGACCGAAACAGACAGTCGAGATGTACCGTCTATTTCTTCTTCTGAGCCTTCTCCGCAGCCTTGGTCACCTTGCCTCCAGTTCCTGACGACTTCTCCACAGATTTGATGACACTACACAATCAGCTCCAGTACTTAGTTGGCTACCACTCGAAACGACTCACCCGACGGCAACGGTCTGACGCATGTCTCGGACCTATCACAGTCAGCATCTCTCGTTCTATTGTACAAAGTCTACTCACGGCAAATCGACCAAGAGGAGGCTATCACGTCAGCGCACGTTCTCAAACAGGTCGACGTTACAACGACGGGCAGGTCACTCACGTAGTCCTGCATGTCAGTAATGCTCTCTCCACTACACGAAGTGGGACTCACAGCATAGGTCTCCACACAGATGGGTTTCTGAGAGATAAGCTTGACGATGGCAGCGTCACCAGACTTGACGAATTTGGGCGCGTCCCTGTCATGTCAGTATGACTTGTAACAACACGTGAGGAACAACTTGCTCGATAGCCTAGGGCGTTAGCTTTGACAACACAATCATGACGCAAATCTCACCTTTCCTGAACGTCGGTCAATCTTCTCAATCAACTCGGCGAATTTGCAGGCGATGTGGGCTGCAGTGTCATTCACACTCCGACAAAGTTAGCACTTGTGACCCACCGGTGTGACAGTCGACCACAGGGGTGTAACCAGCACTGATCTGACCAGGGTGGTTGAGCACGATGACTTGAGCGTTGAAAGAAGCAGCCTCTTTGGCGGGATCGTTCTTGGAATCGGAGCAGACGTTACCACGGCGGATATCCTTGATGGATACGTTCTGTGGGTGAGCTGGAAGACACACGTCATAGTGTAGCACTTGCCTTGACGTTGAAACCGACGTTGTCACCGGGCATACCCTCGGGGATGTTCTCGTGGTGCTGTGATATTAGCAAACGGGATAATGATGGCCTATAATGAACTGACCATTTCGACGGACTTGACTTCGGTAGTCACGTTGGAAGGAGCGAAGTTGACAACCATGCCCTACTCGTCAGTAATGTAACAGACGGGAGTCTGACGGCACGCACGGCTTTGATGATTCCAGTCTCGACACGGCCGACGGGTACTGTTCCGATACCACCGATCTTGTACACATCCTGGAGGGGAAGACGAAGGGGCTTGTCGGTAGGACGCGACGGGGGCTCGATGGCGTCAATGGCATCGATCAAGGTCTTGCCCTTGACCGTACCGGCCTTGGTCTCCCTCTGCCAGCCCTTGTACCAGGGCATGCTGCAATGGTCAGTCGCAGATCTGAGTCAAAGGCCGAGCACTCACTTGGCGGACTCCTCCAACATGTTGTCACCGTGCCAACCAGAAATGGGAACGAAAGCAACGGCCTTGGGGTTGTAGCCGACCTTCTTGATGAAGTTGCTCGTCTCCTTGACAATTTCGTTGAAACGATCCTCGGACCACTTGGCGGTGTCCATCTTGTTACAGGCGACGATGAGTTGCCTGACACCGAGGGTGAAGGCGAGGAGGGCGTGCTCACGGGTCTGACCGTCTTTGGAGATACCGGCCTCGAACTCACCAGTACCGGATGCGATGATGAGAATAGCGCAGTCGGCCTGGGAGGTACCAGTGATCATGTTCTTGATGAAATCACGGTGACCAGGGGCGTCAATGACGGTGATCATGTACTTAGGAGTTTCGAATTTCCAGAGGGCAATGTCGATCGTGATACCACGCTCACGCTCGGCCTTGAGTTTGTCAAGCACCCAAGCGTATTTGAAGGAACCTATTGGTCAGGAAGGATCATCGTGATGAGGATGTCAACACACCCTTTCCGAGCTCAGCAGCCTCTTTCTCGAACTTCTCAATGGTACGTTTGTCAATACCACCGCACTTATAGATCAAGTGACCGGTGGTGGTAGATTTACCGGAATCGACATGGCCGATAACGACAACGTTAACGTGCAGCTTTTCCTGTTGATGCATCAGCCATCATGATCTGGGGGATCGACGGAATGTAACGAGAGGGCGGAAATTTTTCAAGTGGAGGTCTGTGCTCACTTTACCCATTTTGGCGACTAGTTTCTGTACAAGTCAGCGCTGAAGAATTTAGACGTTCACTAGGGAGATGTGGTTGACTGAAAAACCACTCTACAGTCACATCAAAGGCACTGAAGGTGGAATGAAGGTTTTCTTTTCAGTGGGCGGCGGAGGGACAAAGGAGACGGATGATAAGAAAAAAGAAAAAAGAATCGCGACGGGAGACAGGTGCTCGGTATCTCGTTCAAAAGCGTAGGCTCGTACATACTGACGGAAGAGTACATGAGACAGGGAGGAACAAAGATGAGTAGAAGAATGTTCATGGTCTCCACCAACGACGAGTCGCTCACGCGCCACCCAACGACCCCACTGCCCCACGTCGACGAAAACTGTCGAGGATCAAGTAGGGTGTGAACGAGGACGTGAAAGATTCGACGAACAAAGAACTCACTGTGATAGATTGATTAAAAGAGAGGGAATCAAGTGATTGATGTTTTGTGTGGGGGAGAAAGAAGAAAGAGCAGACGAAGGGGGGTGGGAAAAATGGTCTGGTGAATTTGAACTCGTGAGGGATTCGGGGTTTTGCGGCGTGAAAAATTACTCACCCTCATTGGCAACGTGGCACATGTCCTTGGCCACGGGGACCCCAAGTGTGGCACTTTGAACTGGACCCCCTCGACCTTCTCGAAGCGTCCATTTGTGAGACGGGAAACGTGGTCGTCACGAAGAGCCCAAGACATACATATTGCAGGCCAGAGTACAGCATAGAAGGGAGTAAAAATCCTCCCGATGCTTGAAACGGAAGAATGAGGTGGATCATATGGGGCAAAAATTGGTCCGGTGTGATCTCAGGGCTCAGGACTTGGATGTCCCCTCTGATTGGTGATTAGGCCTCATTATCACATGGATCTTGGCGATAGACATGTTGTTGATAGCATCAGTAGACCCTGGCACATGTTGTGTGCTATCAATGCTAGATCAGTGTACCATTGTGGCTAGTGTGAGGCTATCGAGTTTGCCCATCATTAAGGTGAATTCACAACTGTATGTCCAAGAAAGTGTTGTAGTGACACGCGTGTGGTCTATGTACATGCAAGTGCGTTGATGGAGTATTTACAATTCTATGCAGTGGTATCGTCAACTATCTCCCGCTTCTTCTTTTCCTTTCTCTTCTTTTTTCTCATCTCTGCCGGCTCGTTTATGTTGTCCCATTCCTCAGTGGCTTCTATCTCGACGGTATCTCCAGTTTCACGTTTTCTCTTCTTCTCCTTCCTCACTGATGGAGTGACCTCGACACTAGAGATGTTGGCTGTCTTCTTAGCTAGCTTGTCCGCTTTTCTCGCCCGCTTTTCCTCTTTCCTCCTCCGCCTCTCTTGTTTTGTATCCGACACCAAAGTGATGACCTCTTGAAACGCTTGAACTTTCGTCTCTTCCACCAATACTTTCGCATTCTGAGTACAGGTAGGCTCTGTCACTTCAGCGAACGTCGTCTTGCTCCCCTCCCAGCTTACGCCACCCACGGCGACCTTCACTTCTTCTTTGATCCTTGCCAGGCTATTTTCAGCAAGGTCATTCGTTGAGGGCGTCGAGCTGGATGCGGTATTCGTATTTGCTTGACGAGCGAGCATTTTCTCTCGTAGTTTCTGCCTGAAATAATCGGCTACTGAGAGTGATGAAGTGGAGGTCGTTTCCGTGACCTTACGACCATCGATTTCCTCTTCGGAGACCGTCAGGGGTTCGCTGACTGGTGTCGGAGGTGAAGTTGTCGTGGGAGTGGTAGTAATCGATGTGGGAAGAGATGAGATAGGGACACCGAGTATTTCTGCGAGGGCAGCTGGGGAAGAGGAAGCGAGTCGCTTTGCGTGCAAGTGCTTTTGTCGCGAACTAATGTCAACGTTCATTCCCTGGATGGGCAATGCCCAATGAACAGTGACTCACGCAATACGACTTTTGACGGGAGCTGGTACTTTTTCTGCGACTTCTGGCGCTGGACTTGGAGTAGAAGATTCCGAGGCAGCTTGTAATCTCTTCAACACGTCGTCTAAACCTCTGCCTGCCACACCCGCCCCAGCAGCGTTATCTTCCCCTTCCTTCCTCGCTCGACTAGTACCAATCCCCGAGTTGTCTAGCCTACGCACCACAGCAATGTGATTTGGATTTCCGCCGAGATCTGAGCCAAGACCAGAGGATTCTTTCCATCCCAGAGCGGTCATGTGTTTGTACGAAAAACGGGATTGATCGTTAGACCATGAGAGATTTCGTGGGTCGAGACCAATGCGTTCTGCGCTCACTCAGCAAGGGCAGATTTCAAACGTCACATATCTCAATCTTAATGAGGACTCACGTTTGACTTTGCGCTCTGAAAGGCCCATGATGAGGGATTCTGAGTGCAATACAAGGGTATAAGGATGTTGTAAGTTGGGTCAAATTTGTGAGGATGAACCGCCAATGCAACTTCTAAAGTGGGCGGAATCAAAAATTTCCCCATCTTCCAAGTTTCGCCTTGGACCTTCTTCTCTATCTGTGGACACATCTCACTGGTATCATACAACAATGGTACGTTCACCCCGTTCCTCATCCATTTACAGTCTGGATACACTCCCGGATAACCCTCATTACTGCCTCACTAATCGTAATCCCTGATTGATTCGGATCTGAGCAGATCTTGATGTTTTGCGGAGGGCAAAAGCTGATTTTCCAAGCCTCAAAATGATTACATGGACGAGCATCGCCGACGACATGGTCGTCGGCTGGACTATGAAGAGAAGAAGTGAGTTTCTTCTCTGTATCGTATGGGTAGCCGGTCTGACTAGATAGGCGAAAGAGAGAGGCCCGAGAGGTTCATAAAACTTCTCAGGACACACAAAAAATGTTTGGTCACAAAGCCAAATTACTTCATGCCAAACGACACTCTGAGAAGGTGCAAATGAAGAAGACTTTGAAGGCGCATGATGAACGTAATGTCAAGCAGAAGGATGACGGGGCGGTCAAGGATGGGGCTTTGCCTACTTATCTTTTGGATAGAGAAGGGCAGAAAGTGGGTCATTTTGTCCTCTTGATCGTCTTCTTCCCTTTTTCGCCTTCACGATTTGACATGCTTGTATCAATAGTATTGGACGCCAAGAGATCCAGAGAGAGTATGGGGACATAATGACGGTTTAATAGCAAATGCTAATATTGTAGGACGCAAAAGCACTGTCTTCCGCGATCAAAGATCGAAGGAAAGATCGTGCTGCCAAATATGCCGTACCCCTTCCCAAAGTACGAGGAATCGCAGAAGAAGAAATGTTCAAAGTCATCAAAACTGGTAAGAGCAAGCAGAAAAGTTGGAAACGGATGGTCAACAAAGCTACCTTTGTTGGGGAAGGGTTCACCAGAAAGCCTGTCAAACTCGAGGTGAGCTACAATATCTAGCACACGTGACGACTCTAATGTCGCAGCGCTTCATCCGACCCATGGGATTACGAATGACAAAGGCCAACGTGACACATCGTAAGCTGAATCCTCTCTTACGTGTCGACAGTCAGTTGACGAATGAGCCGAGTTGAAGACGACATTCCAGCTGCCTATAATCGGCGTGAAAAAAAACCCTCAGTCACCGTTGTACACCTCTCTCGGTGTATTGACGAAAGGAACTATCATCGAGGTCAATGTTAGCGAGCTCGGTTTGGTATCCACGGGGGGAAAGGTGGTTTGGGCCAGTAAGTTTTTTTTTGCGATCCTTCCACAGTTGGTAGCTGATGTTTTATAGAATACGCACAAATAACCAACAACCCGGAGAATGATGGTTGTATCAATTCCGTATTACTGGTTTAGGTAGACTCTCTCATCTGTATATCCTTCAGTGTATGCATGTATGGCACATGACCAAGGCTACTTGTCGCTGACTTTCGGTGTCGAGACGTTCTACAATGGTACTCTACCTCACTCATGCACTCATCTACCCATTCACAGTCCATGCCAAGAGTTCTCCCTGTGAAAATCGACACGTGATCGGAGCAAAGATGCCGACGATTGGCCACTGCACCTTATCTCGTCACTACTTACAATATTCTCATCGTAACATTTCAACTGATACTGTATGGTGTGGTACGATTTCATCTTTTCCCCTCCCGTTCTCATCGGTAGCGCAGTAGGTATCACAGCCGCCTTGTTCGTCCGATCAGACTTTGAGTTTTTCTCCAAGCTTCGAACGCCTGAGAAGTACAAGAAAGCCGAATCTGTCAGTCTTTCTTGCCCCTACATACCATTCCCTCCTATTCCTGTACCATGCAGCATGCATGATCCAAAGGGTCTCACGTGGAACCGGAATGCATAAAGCCATATTCTACTTTACCATGTGATTTTGCCACCTTGATAACTCATGAGAGATTTATGCTTACATGTAGAAACCTTCAATCATGTCCGCCCCAGCTCAGAATCTCGCTCCTCCCAAGGTACGTAATTCCTTGTAAGCAAGAATCGTAGTTGAAGAGATAGGATGATCCTATCCCTGCAGCTGAGCTAGCGAAATATAATGGATCAGACCCTTCTAAACCTATCTATGTGGCGATAAAGGGTAAAGTATACGATGTGAGTCCTAAGAGGGAGATGTACGGTCCTGGTGCGGGATACAACATTTTCGCTGGTAAAGATGCCAGTAGAGGCCTTGGTCAGTCTACGTTTCTTTTCTTATCATCAACTCACCACCAACAAGTCTCTTCTCTTCCCTTATATTTCTCTTGTGTCCTTCGCTTCGGCCATCAGGCCATCCTGTCATTCATGACGTCTCGTGCGTGAAGGAACCGAAACCCATGACTGACAGATAGGAATGTCCTCTTTGAAAGAAGAAGATGCAATCGCAGATATCTCCGGACTGGACGAAGCACAACACAAGACGTTGGATCAATGGGAGGGTTTCTTTGCTCAAGTCAGTTCCAAATTTGTTCATTCATCTTCATCGGTTTATTCATCTTCATCGGTTTATTCATCTTCATCGGTTTATTCATCTTCTCTTGTCACACTTCTCACCTTTCCTATCTTCCATACATCTCTCTAGGTGTCACTACCCCCAACTCTGACCGACATCGTCCTTGCCTCATTCCATAGGACGAAGGCTGTAGGTGTCCAATAAAGCAATGCCCGGTATGCTCATCCACGTACACAAAGCTGATCAACAAAGAGATACAACATTGTCGGGAAGGTCGTCCCTTAAGACTCCTCTTCAAGTATAAATAGATTCCTTCCAGCCATGCGATTTCTATTCTTCTGGGTCCTTCATTCCGCTACTACGGGTATCCACTAACTCCTACTGATGAAGCGCCACCTTTTCGTGACATGTCAAAGGACCCTTGAAACTACTCAATTCTGATGGTCGTTTCATCTTGTTGATCCTTTGTCGTCCCACCCCCTAAGTTTACCTCCAGCTTACGAGTCGTTTTCTACTCATTTCTTCACCTATTACTCATTCTACGATTGTCAAAATTGGTAAAACGGAAGAATAATGTCGGCACAGGGGTATTATGGACAACAACAACCCAATGGACAAGGTGGTGGGTCTTTCCTTCCAGTTTTGCTCTACCTGCCTCACTCGCCATCGAGATTCCGCTCATGGTGGACTGAGAGAACAGTGGTAAGTTTGTACGGGGAAAGAATGGACCAAGTCGTGGGTGAGCGCAGGATGACACAGACAGGAGTGAAAGTGTAACTGAACGAAACTAAATAAATTGAGAGAGAAGAGTGCATCACTGATCTCTTAGGGTATATGCCACCCAATGGTCCTCCTGCTATCCCTTCGGACAAACCGTACGGAGCACCTCCCGGACAAGAGTATTATCAAAACAATGGTTATCCTCCTCAAGGGCAGTATCAACAAGAATACGGTCAAGGACAAGGACAATATCAAGGTCCACCTCCACCTGGATATCAAGGACAATATCAAGTAGCGTGAGTCTTTTCACCTGCACAATCTACTCGTTTTTGCATTACTGATCACTAGACCGCCTCCACAACCTGTGAGTAGAATATGATATCCTACCTTGTCATCATACGAAGGAATATCCTTTTTCCTATTTCGGACCCCGGCCTCTGCATGTCTCTATTTCATTCTGATAGACGGATTCTCACCCATCGCTCTGATCATCGAAGTCGCAGATTACTTGTCCTATCAGCTATAGAGATTGGCATAGTTCCTTTTTCTTACAAAAAAAACAGATAGGGACATCATGAGGAAAGTTATGGCTTACTACCAGGCGCCTCAAATGATATATCAACAACAACCCGACCAGTCCAGAGGTGGTGGCGGTGGAGGTGGGGGACTTGAAGCGGCAGCATGTTGTGGATTAGGAGCTCTACTTTGTTGTTGTTGTGAAGAAGAATGTCTTTCTTGTTGTTTCTAGGATCATAACATCTTCTTGGATCCTTGACTACCTACCGTATATCATTCGTGATACCCTTTCCTTCCTGTCGCCCCCCCTCTCCCCCCATACCCTTCCCACTTCAATTTCCTCCACCGATATTTGTGACTTGTCACTCATCCGAACGGTTCGATTATCGTTACTCTCTATCGCAATCGAGAATGTTCAAGAGAGAATGAATAGAATTGTCTCGGAAATCAAATGATATGCATACAGATACAACCTAGAATTACTTATCCAAATCCATCTCATCACCCGCGTCTAATATCTCAGATTCATCACCTTCTCCCTCTACTTCCCCTTGACCTTCCTCTTCTTCAGCATCATCACCCACCATATCATCCTCTTCCTCGTCCCCTTGTTCCTCTTCGACATCAGTTGCTGCGTTACTTTTCCTAGGCCCTCGTTTCCCCCCTGGACCAGGGTTGACGGCTTTTTTAGCAGATTTGTTGGCTTGGACATTTGCTCTGTATGCTGAGATATGAGCTAAGGAACATTTATCATACAAACCGAGTCTCTTTCAATTCCCTGTTTTGCTGTTTCGCAGTGCGGACCGACGATTTACAAAAGAAGGATCAAATCGTTGCTTGGACGGAAGAGTGAAGATTTTTATCTCATAGGAGGAATTTGGGATGACGAGTAGCGATAATGTGTCCTAGTCGACATAAAAAAGAGCGGGGGGATCTTAGTCCGGGAGTACAGGATGATGAAGTGGAAAGGAAGGAGAGACATATAGGATTATGAGAAGGGTTTTGGAAAGGGAAGATAAAGTCGAGACTCACCTGCTAGCTCATGTTCCAAAATAGGTATCAAATCGTCTGCAGGTCCAAAATCCATTTCTGAAATAGCTTTGATGACATCCGAAGCGGTTATTGATTTTCCTGATCTTGCAAGTGCTTGATCATGGGCGCTTATATCAGCATTCTTCTTCTTGTACCCTTTCATCATCCACCACTTTTTCCGCGTCATAGCCATATTATTCCCTTCAACCCATACGGATATGAATGGTATTCTTGAATAATAACCTCAATTTCAAGTGGGTAAGCGGGTCTGAGTGAGGACTCTTCCACTCGGTGGGAATAATCGGGACATGAGATGTTGACTCACGCGGCGGCTGACGATAAGCTAAATGTTCAAGGTCGAGGAGCATAGCTTACATAGATATGAAATGAAGAGTGTTGAACCTCGTAAGAGAGCCAAGACGACGTCTTGTTGCATTTTCACATTGTCAGGTATCTCAAGGTCAGTCATTACTCGTTTTAAGGATTCTTTGCCTTGTTAAGGCTGAAAAGCCAACACTGGGTGATATTCCCTTAGACTTCTTTAGGCACAATGACCAGAGTACTCTACCTTCTATTCCATCAAGTGATCTTTCCTCAACGCCAACACCATGAGTATCCAAAAAGTGATAGTGACTACTGAAATTTCTCCTAGGCACGTTGTAGAGTATGATAGAGAAGAAACCTGACAAGTCACTCACGGAACCCTTGGCAAGCTTTGTCAACGTCGTCTTGGGCAGCTCGAAATCCGCTATGGAAGAAGAGTGAGCATTCTGCTGAACGAGAGCTGGTGATGAGGGATCAGTTGTGGTAGGTGGTGGACCGAGTTTGCTTCCTTTTGGGGGCATTGGAGGGTTTGTTCGAGCCCTCAGACCTAAGGGGGGTTGAGAAGGGCAGCCGAGTTGAGAGGGGTGGAGTATCAAAAGTCACGGTAGTATGAGATATTCAGTGGGACGCGTCCGGACGAGCCAGAAGGGGATTTGATTCCGCCGGCTTCTCACTGACACGAGTGAATGACACTTGAAAGTCATGCATAAGCTGCGTACAGTACAGTATCAGAAAATTCCGGTGGTCTGACAGCTAGGCAAAATGTCTATAACCTTGTGGCTGCCTGAATACACCAGAGACTTGCCGATGACTCTCGTAGCACTATGGGCTCAGTAGCAAGTCACGGATGGGCGATACGTCTGGTGAATGAGTGAGAAGTGTACAACTTGAACATGCATCATCCCAGAATCAATTCGTATATTATTCTATTATCAGTCATCGTAGAACCATACGTTGCAGATCACTCACATGATTGTATTTATTATGATCAGTGGTACTTCTCATCAGCCGCTCTTCTCCTCGCCTGTCTCTTCTGGCCCATTTCACAATCGCTGACTCGGTAGGAGCGTTGGTGACAGTTTTGTATCGCGGCGGAGGCAAAAGGGATGACTCACTCCGCATTAATGTCCTCGTAGCTCCTATCAAGCCTATCAACTTCGCCTTGATACTCGGTCCATCACCTCCTCCGGCGTCATATATGTTAGGATTAGAGACGTTTCCGAATCCCGAATTCGCTGTTTGGGGTGTACGTGTGGACCATCCGACTGTTGAAGTGAAGCGTGATGCAGTCAATCAAATTGTAGTGCATTTGGTTGAGTATAGAATGTATGCGGTGAGGGATGAATCGTAACGTGAATCGGCACAAGTGACGAGCGAGATGAACGAAGACAAAGAGCAATATCAGCGCCAGTATATTTAGATTAACGAGAGTGACTCACTCTTGGCAAGGAAACGCTCTTCGCTTAGAATAGCAATGGCATTTGTGAAAAGGAGAGAGATGTAGAGGATGTGTCCAAAGTAACCGAAGCCCAGCATTATAGCGCGGTCCCTTGCTGGCTGCGCTGGGGAGAATTCGCACGGCTACTACGGGCTCTTTCTCTTTGTGATCAATTCCAGTGATGTCACAGCTAGCTGCGAGTGACTGGGGCAGCTGTTTGACCTACTGTAGGAATGAGAGCAAGGTAAAGTCTACGTGGTGAAAGACCTGTCGTCATAAAGAGCGCGTGGCAAGTCTCATACTAAGTGGGGGGCAAAAATATGCTGGCTTATCACCCCGCAATCTAAATATCCCACGTCATGATCTGACCCGGGGTAGCCGGTGCTTTCTAGAAAGTCTGTCCAACTTGTTCCATAGTGGTCCACCTTAAAGTTGCCAGTACTTTACCCTTCACCCAGCATATCTTGCACATTCCCACACAATCAACGTCAGAATCATCGCACATCTTCAACGTATCATATGTATTAATCTCTCTTCCCAGGCGACATGGTAAACAATACAGAGTACTACAAGGTGAGTCGAACACCCCTCTCCTTCAGGCCAGCGCTGACAGGCAAGGTACTGGGTATCAACAAAGATGCTACCGAGGCAGATATCAAGAAAGTGAGTTGTACAGATAGACTTGTGTGCTAGGGCTAGCGAGCTCACGTCCAGGCTTATAAGAAAGAATCTCTCAAATGGCATCCAGATCGGAATATAGACAAAAGAGCAATGGCGGAGGAGAAGTTCAAGAAGGTAAGTTCAGTCCCATATCTCATCTTAGGTCACTCGTCTATACTGGGAGCTTTATTGAAGTTGACTATGTGCACGTACAACTGTGGGGGACGCAGGACCGAAGGCTGGAGGGTAATGCAGAGCTAGAGTCAGTGATGATGACAGGTGGCAAGTCGTACAGGTTTGGACGCTGACGATCAGCTCGGTGAAGCCTACGAAGTCCTTTCCGATCCCAACAAGCGCGAGATCTACGACCAACTAGGGGAGGAAGGACTGAAAGGTGGTGGCGGTGGTGCCGGACCGGGGGGTGGTGCTGGTTTCTCTGGGTTCCCAGGTGGAGGAAGCGGGGGATCATATCATTTCCAAGCACACGACCCGAACGATATATTCAAGTAAGTCGATCTGTCCCCTCTGTTCCTCCTTTCATCCATCTTTATCTATCAATCACACTATACCTGGTCTGCTCTGCAGTGAGCCAGGCTGGTCTTGGTGATATGAGGTACCTGCGTATTCTTGTGAAGATTCGAGCTGACTTGCAGCGCGTTCTTCGGCGGCGGTATGGGCGGAAATGGAGGTACAGAAGATTTCTTCACGAACATCTCATCTGGAGGCACTGGTAGACCAAGTGGCCGTCGAGCTCGTATGGGCGGGATGGGCGGGATGGGCGGGATGGGAGGTATGGGTGGTATGCCAGGAGGCTTCGACATGGGTGGAGGTTCCGCTGTCGCACCGCCACCCCCTGGGGAGGTCATCAAACCTTTGGCATTGACGTTGGAGGAGTTGTACAAGGGAGGGACGAAAAAACTAAAGCTTACGAAGCATACGAGGACGGGTGGACAGGAGGAGAAGATCTTAGAGGTGGCTTATAAGGCTGGGTGGAAGAAGGTGAGCAGAAATACTTTCGAACATCATTCCTGGAGACCAAAATTTGCTCTTGATCATGATTCCACAAGCCATAATTGGTCTCCTGATGTTTATGATGGTGTACCAACTATTGTAACATCATGGTTAGCTATTATGCCAAAAATCTTTTTGCGAGTGATTACGAAGCGTCATGAAGGTGCACACAGTATCACGTGTAATGGACAGAATGATTCGCTGACGATCAGGGCACGAAGATCAAGTTTGCTGGTGCGGGAAACGAAGATGAACATGGACAATCTCAAACCGTTACATTCGTAGTGGAAGAGAAGAAACATACTCGATTCGAAAGAGTGGACGACGATCTTGTCATAAAACTCAATATCACCCTCAGTCAGGCGTTACTGGGACCGGATGGAGGTGGGCCTATCGTCAAGGAAGTTGAACAATTGGACGGGAGGAGGATCAAGGTGACTTTGCCAGAGGGGGTGAGTGATTTCTGCTTGATTCTTGGTCCTATCACTTCCTCGTCACGTAGCGGCCTTGTCAAAAATACGGCATTTGACAGACCATACCCAGCCAACGATTTCTGCACGGTGTGCTGTTGAACACTTAGACGACCAAAGAGGACGTCCGCTGACAAAATAGCAAATCGTCCAACCAGGACAAGAAACCAGAATTACAGGAGAGGGAATGCCGGTCTCTAAAGCTTCCTCAGCCAAACGAAAAGGAGACCTGGTCGTACGGTGGAACGTCGTCTTCCCTACTCGACTCACACCGCAACAGAAGCAGGCTTTACGTGCTGTTTTAGGATGATTCCATTTCCGGTTTAGTGGTTCAGAACGCAGATCCTAAGAAGCATATGGTATAGTCGTAATGCATGGTCTGTTTTCATCGCGATTTCTTGGTTTCAGTTATAAGCCTAGTCTAGCCTAGCGTAGATGACTAGAGAGGGGGTGAGAAGATGACAGAGGGGTTCAAGCGAGGTTGATATCGTTCAATGCGCATGCGACGGCGGCACGATGATGACCTTCGTATTGACGTACAGTCTCGCCTGATGCGAGATCCCATAGTCGGGCGGAATGATCGCTTGAGGCTGGGTGTCATCATGTATCCGAGGTGTTCCCATGATCTGGAGTATTCACAGAAAGCTCGTGTGATGCCTGACATGGTTCGTAAAGGACAGCGATGGAGCGGAGCAGATGAGAAGGGGAGAGAAGGGGATTGGAGGAGATGATGTGAATTGCGGTGGAAACTCACTTGTGACAAGATAAGCTGAATCAGCGCTGAAAGCAGCATCCCAAACCCATCTTTGATGTCCAGCCAATGTCTTTTCATGTGTATATTCGAAATTTGCCGTGGACCAGATTTTGACACTCGAGTCGGCTGAACAAGTTGCGAGGTGTCTATGACATTCAGTATATTGTTCATGTTTCACTGTAGGCAACTTGATATTATGCTAAAACAGGAGTACTTCATGTAGGGATCATGTATCCTGGTAAAGTAGGGAGAAACTTACCGAGTATCAGGCGATAATAAACATCTGGTTATGTATTTCGGATGAGCTTGAAAACTCGTCACTGGTGTCAAAGTTTGAGCTTCTGGAGAAGGGTTGATCTGCCAGACGTAACACATGCCCTGGAGGTTAGAAGTCACATCTACATAATTTCCCAGATCCCTTGCACATATTCAGCGGCTTGAGGAGAAGAGCAAGAGGACGGTCAAGGGATGAGGGTCAGAGGGGACAGGAGGTGATTTGTGAAAGACGCACGAGGTCGTTACCTGCAACGAGGGTACCACCATCTGATGCTATTGTCACACTCCTTATAGCTACGTCTTCGTCTGGTACCTGATCGTCAGCTATTGCTGCCAAACCCACACATCATTTTTCCTGAGGGTTGAAGATGAACATGTCATGAAATCTCACTGACATATAGACGATATCCATGCAGTGGGGGAGAATATTTGACACACAGCACATTCGCAGAGATGGAGGCAGTCAATTGTGAGAAGGAGACGACGAGGTGACGAGACAGAAGAGACACTACTGACCAGCTCATGTGTACATGTATTCTCCCCCAAATCCCAAATCTTCACGCTACCCGTTTGGTCGCACGAAATCAATTCCCCTTGATTAGGATGTATGACCACATCATTGACGGGATGATCATGATCGTAGTTTCTCTGCACGCCAGATGTTCTATGGATCAGCTCAGCGCTCCCAAACCTCAAATGCCATTCTTTTCCCCATCCCATGACGTTTAGGAGTACTCGGTCTATGGTGAGTTGAAAGACAACCAATATCATTTCCCGCGAGTCTCGCTTGGCTTTATGAAGAGAGAAAAGTGTATAAAAGAAAGAGCAGAAACATATGAGAACTCACCTCGTATCCCAAACTTTGACAGTCCCATCCTCTGACCCAGTTACGATCCATTTTCCAAGTTGATTATAAGCCAAAGCAGTCACGTTGCCTGTATGTCCTTCCAGACTTGCGATCTGAACGTCAACCATCAGCGATCGGTAAATCGTTGTTTGAAAATCGTACAGGAGTATTGTTCATAGATGGTATATCCCATATTCTGTGAGTTCAGCATTGTCTGAATCAGGTGAAACTTAGGTGGAATTAGCATCGGGTCCACAGACCGCACAGGTTTATGCCACGATGGTAAGTCGTACGTCATGAGGAGAAATGTACGGGAGGAATATGACAAGGGAAGATAAGGGAGAGACGACCCACCTGACAGATGCATTACCCGCAGCCGCTAAATGACTCTTGTCGGGGGATATAGCGAGTCTATTGACTTGTTTCTGTCCTTCAGTGTGTCCCTATATAGAAGTAAAAACTCAGCCCAATGGCTACGAAGTCATTCAGTCGAGTGAAAGCTCGTGTAGTTCGTGGGTAATCTGCCAAACCAAGTTGAAAATTGGTCAATGAAGTCCGGGGGAAGGAAGTAGATTAGTGAGGAGCTTCGTAAAGGGAGGTACAAGGGGCACATGTCTCCAAAAGATGGAAGTCATATTGGGAATGTTGACGGGAGCAGCCTGGGTTATGTGGGAGTGGAAAGAGAAGAATATGACATACCCATTGAGGTTGTAAAGGTATTTGACGATAACATATCCCAGACCAAGCTTCCCAAAATCGTATCGAATGATCATCTACTCGTCAGCCCTCTCCCCTTCTGTCTTTCTTCTTCGTCCACTTGTGTCCAACTTCTCCCTCCTGATGGGACACTAGCTCTTGATCATGTTGTCCAGCCTCATGAGTCCACAAGATGCCCAGCAAGTCTCAGATGAGGCTGTTCAGAGACTTCGGATGAATGAAGGACGAAAAGGTGGTCACTATGAAGACTGATGGACGAGGATATAGAGTGAAGCGAGGTCCGAGGTTAAGACTTGAACTCACACCCTGCAGTACACAAAATCACACTCATCTCCGTTGCCTGAGCTTGAGATGCGTCATACGCCGGTACGGTACCATGGGAGGTATGTTGAGATGAGGGCATCTTGTCATCTGGTCATTCGTGGGGTTGAAAGAGTGAACGGTCTTGTGGTCTACGGATCTTTGATCCCTTCCTTCTTTTCTCCTCTGCTGTCTCTCCACCGAAGCCGTTGTTTCTGTAGAGCTCCCCTAACCACAGCTTTTCGCTGGATCCAGATAGTTGAAGTGTATGCAAGTGAGTGATGGGATAGGTAGGGAAAAGCTGCAAAAGATTAGAACCCTGACATCAGAAGGCGATAGTGAATGGCCAGCGACATCGTGGCGTGAACGTGTGCAAGCACAGAGGTCCAGCCGGGCGCAGAGAAATATCGCGAGAAGTAAACCCCGTAGGGTTGTAACGCTTCTCACAGCGTTAAGAACAGATACTACACATGATCTTAGCCAAAAGAGGCCAGAGAGGATACTTTCCATGGCTTTTGGTACTTGGGGGGTTCTCTGCTTTTGCGTGCGCGGGGTTTCCAATTAAGCTGATATGGGAGGATGAGTGGCGCCGTCCCCTTCATAAGATCTTAAGATATACTCGAGCCGACAATGTCAAAAGGAGATCACGGTATGACAGCGCTGGTGTAACTTACAGCACACCCAGGATATCACAAGCTCACAAATGGCGTGCAAGCTCGTTTGAAGTATACATACAGTCACAAAGTATTAGACAGGTTCATCCTGACCTACACCAAACTGCTGTCGAGTCATTTGGACAACACTACTTGCATCGTGTGTGCTACAGGTTGATCGCTACATGACAAAACCCAACATACTTCGCTCACAGACCGTCGACGCCATCGAGTTCTCGACGGTGAACATATTTACCCTCGGACTCTTTGTACACCAGACTATGAGGACCACCAGTGTCGAGAGCGTCAGGGTCGGAAAGCGGGGCGCCTGAGCTCAGCACAAGGCAAGATGATCCAATGAGTCGGTAAGTGCTTACCTTGTTTGTATGAATCTTCACCAGACCCATACCTATTGACAGGTTCCACTCCCGCGGTTCCACCTCGTCCGTCGGCATCGGCACCTTTGGTCGCACCATATGCTCCACCAGCCGCTCCGGCACCGACAGCAGCACCTGCCAAACCCGCTTTACCATGACCGCCGGGTACGTATTCGCTCGACGCTCGCTGTCCTACACCGCCGGTGGAGCCATAGTGACCCCCTGCCCCTTCCGCCGGTCCGACACCGTTATCAAATCCTTTACCGTATCCTGGTCCTTGGGCGGTAGATGGATCGATACCTTCCCTTGTGACTCCGCCGTATCCTCCACCAGTCAAGGGCGCACCGAGATCAGCACCGCGTACACCGGCAGGAGGCAGGTTGATGCCCTCTCCTATGACGGTTTGTCCGGTAGTTTGAGTGGTTTTTGAGCTGGTGTGGGTAAACTTGTCGGCGATGGGTGTGGGCGTGGCATAGGCGGCTTCAGCACCGACGCCAGCTCCGGTGGTATGAGCTTGGCCTGGAATCAGCGTGGGCCCCGTGCAACAGCATCTCCCAGGGGTTCCATCAATATATATGCTACAAATGGAATAGGCGTAAAAGACCGGAGTAAGGGAAGGCCGAGCAAGATTCGTGTGAGATGATGTTTGTGAGCTTGCCGAAGGAGGAATGGTGAGAGTCTCCAAATGAGATAAAGTATTGAAACTCACTCTGTCCAGTTAAAGCGTTGCCGGTGCCTCCACCCTCGTAAGCACCGCTCACAGTCGCTCCATGTCCATAACCCCCGGCACCACCTGGAAGATTCTTCGGAATTCCTTTTGGTCAGCCCCAGTCCTAAACCTCACTATCTGACCTACCTCCTGAAGCGTGCTCTCCCCCGAGTCCGTGGTTAAAACCCTCTCGTTCTTCCGCAGCGGCGATACCAGATTGTGTGTTCTTAGATCCGACGATGCCATGCTGGTTTGTCAGTTGTCGCCCCTTATACAAACAATCCAAAGGTCCTCTCTCCTTGTCATGGCTTGATAAGTATGATTGGTTGTCAAGGGAACCAGAGTGAGAACTCCCAGTTGTCAAGGAGTCTAGGGGTGTAAGAAGGGAGAGTAAGAATACTGGTGGGGACATGAATGATACACTCACCCCTCCTGACAACCCGATACCGGCCCCATGTTCACCTTGATCAACCCCGTTCTTAGGCACTGTAGTGCGATCTTCGATGCTTGTCATGTTTGTTTGTTCTGCGAAACTATTCAAGTTGATTTAGATGTGTGAATGCAATGTATGTGTTTGAGATGTCAGATGTCAAGCTGAAAGAAGACCCCGACGTCATTATGAAGAAGTGGGGTAGACGCCTGGTACGTCATAACCGGGTTCTTCCCATACAGGGGGCCGGCGATCGGCGAGATCGGCGAGACGCACGAAGATCAGAGAATGAAGAGATGGTACGTCACCGCTGCCGCTGCGGAGCCAACCCCAACGTCAGTGCATGCGCATCACAAGTTGAGCATGAGCGGAACGTGTGCTGGGATGCTGTGATGCTGCATGTCCAGTAGCCGTAGCCGCGTAGCCAGTAGGTGCACAAAGCCATGCTGAAATGTAGAATGCAAAACAAAGAACTAGTACAACCACTATTTCTGTGCTACCCCGGTACCGGCTAGGCTACCGGTTGTGTGTATGAAAGACTTATACGGGGATCATCATATGGCTGTCCCAACCTTGGCGATTTCTGTCCAATCACTCTCAGGTCCACCCTTGAGATACTCCCTCTCCATTACCCTTCCGCCTCTGTTTAACTCATCGTCATCTAATCTCCCCGAAGATTGGACAGCCGAAGTGGCCCGCCGGGCTTGTTCATCTGATAATCGCTGTTGCCGGATTTCCTGGGGTCCATTTCGAAAGACATCTTCTCCGAGGATCGCAATGGCCGCTTCGTCACCTATCACTTCGTGCCATTTTCCGTCCCATTGTGAAAAGATGCGATGACGAGTAGGAAGCATGATAGGGTTAGGATCAAGTACCGGTTGGATTTTTGGACTGCAAGTCAGTCACGCTCCGTTGTTCTCCACCCATGTTTCTCAAGGTAAAAAGAGGACGAATGGAATTTATAGGGAGATAAAAGTTATAGCGACATACTAGACGTGATATTTGTGGATCTCGCGATCTACTAGGGTGATATAGTCGGTATGCTCTTTCTTGATGATGTGTTCCTGCATGTCAGCCTGCGATCATTGATAACTGATGAAGGACGGTATGATGAAGTGTGAGACCGATATGAGCATGTAACTCACGTGAATGACCGGTTCCATCCATTTGGTCTGTAATCTCACAGAGTCTCTAGCTTGCAACTCGTCCGCCATACCCGCTTGTTTGAAAACTTCTTTCCCTTCTTCACTCAATCCCACAGCTCCTTTTCCTTGCCAAACCAGTTCATCTCCTGCTCTCTGCGCAGCGTTGGTCACTATACTCTGCTGGACCGGCTCAGGCGAGGTGACTGACAGGTGCTCCATCTGTCCCGATAATGATGACTCGACGTTCGCTTGCACCAATCGAGTGGAGTCGTTATGTGGATCTGCTTGACCCGAAGGTCCCGGATCAACTCGTCGTTGTGGATCAGAATGGTGGCCTTCCGCCGAAGAGGGTGGTCGTGAGGTAATGGCGAGAGTATCGAGGTCTTGTACAACCTTTGGGGAATGAGGAATGGATTCTTTCCTACCATGACCACCTTTACGGGGTGTCATGACCTCCTCTCGATCAAACGTTTCCGTACCTTCCGTCATTGATGCTTGTGGCTCGATTAGTCTGCTTTGGGGGGATGTGGACTGATGAGGATTTGGGGAAGAAGAGGGAATGCTGGACTTTCGGGGTGGAATAGCTTTTGATTCTACGCCTGTTCGTCTTTCGGTGTCGTTTGATCCAACCGAGCTCGTACGTCCTTGATCACCAATCAAATTCGATAAATGCCCAGTCTTCTCCCGCTCAACACTCCTGGGGGGTTTATAAGGAGCTCCATTTGCTGTCGACATGTCTTGGGTTGCTTTGGTCGAGATGTTCTTATTTGGCTCCTTGCCGATGATTATTACCCCCTGCTCGGTATTGGAATATCTGGGAGTGTTTCGATTGATTATTGATGGATGATTCTCTTGTAGAAGGGGAGCTAAATCGGAAGGGGACTGCTTCGAGTCAGACTGAGGCGAGGAGGAGGAGGAGGGCGAACGACGATGTCGGAGCTTTGCAAAGAAAGATGGCATGTCCTTTGGTCAGTAGTGAATCGGTAGCTGATGGATCGGGGATCAGTGGCTGATAGATGGTGGGAATGATGGAGGCGTTCTACACTGAGACCCAGCAAAATTTGCAGGACTAGCAGAAGCCACGCATGAAAGACGTTACCAAGCCCCATGCTGTCATTCAGAACGACGTCCACTTGGGGCACCCCCCTTTTCTCCTCGGGGCACGACATGCCACGAGCCTCAAATTCAGGCACGTACCAACCGGGGATTCAATAATGCCGCTGATCGGGACACGCCGCTGATCGGGGTTCGCCGCTCCCACTCTTCTCTATCATCATCACCCGCAGTATTGACCATGTCTACTGAAATCCGCTCTTTGACTATGCATACCACAAACCATAAGGACCAAATGGTACTCACAGACCCGCAGAGACCAGGAGAAGAGCGTCGAGAGACTGAGAAGACACCACAGTCAAGATTGAGAGAGTTATAGCGATTTGATGGGGGTAGTCAGGGAGGGGGCAGGTTGAGAAGGCAAAGGGCCCGAAGTTGGTCAAAATTAGTCGCAAAAGAGTGAGAAGGGTATCAAAATGATCCTTGAGAGCAGTAGAGACTGTGTGTGTGAAAAAGAGGGTGAATTTGCTAGTATGATGACGAGAAAGAGGCTACTGATGGTGAGGACAGAGTGTTTGGTAGCGAGCTATCAGGACCTCGGGAGTTCAGTAACGCCGGGCCTATGATCCTCGGCTCAGGGTTCGTGGCATGTCGTGCCCCGAGGAGAAAAGGGGGGTGCCCCAAGTGGACGTCTTCAGAACCTCCAAGAACCAGGTTCATGGTTCAGGGTAACCGATTCCAGATGCGGGGTCCCCGGTTACGTCGGTGACACGAAGTCGAGATCACAAACGACGTCAGTGCGTTCCTTCCACAAATAATGTCGTTATCGGGAACACGTATCCAGCTCTGCCTCGAGGCTACCGTCCTGTACCGGTGTCGAAGCTATTGAGGTCCCGATCCCAAGCTTCCTTTCCATGTCACTTTCGCGTCATCGCCCAAATGTCACCTCTCTCCCTTGCCCTGGATTCGATCTAGGGCTGCGTCGATCCGTCCGCACGGACGGTTCTCGATACTAACCTCGATTGCGAGCCACGAGGTACAGACCAAAAAGTGTGTGAATCATGTCAAACTCGTCATCCCATCATCGAATGTTCAACTATGACGTCGTACCCGTCTCACCCGTGGATTCCGTGGATCCTCTGACTGCTCGACTGTCAGTCTTATAACCCTTTGGTCCCCCGATTCCCTTCTCATCGAATAAACTCCTACTCTCATCTTTCCAAACGTCAATCAATATCAGAAGCAAACTACAAGCATTTCACGATGTCTGCTCAAGTCGAAAACACCAATCACAATGGCGCTACTTCTGGTGTCAAGAACTTTCTCAAGTCTGCTTTCAAAAAGGACTCCACTGAGGTGAGTTACCATCTGTCCCCTTCCTTCAAGCTGGCCTTGTGTGTCATTCGCCTGTTCCCTGTCCCACCCAATCAGCAGCGAGTGGTATTAGAAGTTGAACAAAGTTACTGACATCCAGGTTTGCACTGAAACCGCCCCAGAAGTAGTGCAAGAACACGTCCGACCTGTCGAGCACGTAGAAACTGCCGAGGCCGTGGACCGAGAGAGGCATATTCACCACCACCAGGTCAGTTCTCTCCGTTTCACTCCCCATACTCCAGCTGACCTTAAGCACCGTATCCAACCCATCGTCGACAAACAAGAGCTCGACGCTCAACATGTCCACACAACAGCCCCCGCCGTCGTTCGTGAACACAAAGAAGAAATGCTCCCTGAACATCAATCCAAGTTGCACGAACAACGCACGATGCATCAGAACGTGCAGACTACTGGCGAAGTCGAACGCAGCGCCGCTCATCTTGGTACTCATGTGAACCAACATGAACATCACCACATCCATGAGACAAGTACGTTTTCTCCCTTCACCTGCAGTCCTTCTGATGTGATCTCTTCTTTATGACGGCTACAAAAACCAAGGAAAGGGATGTTGCTAACCCGCAGTCCAACCTGTCATTCAGCGCGAGACAATTCAGCCTACTCACGTACATCACACCATCCCCGTTTCGGAGAAGATACACGAGGCTCCAATCGTTCACGAAGCTACCACTTTGCCCGCGATCACCCTAGACCAGTTTTCGAAACACAAGGATCACCACCCTGAGAGCCATCAAGACTCTTCTCACACTCATCAGTTCTGTGAGTTGAACATGATCTAAACAAATGGCCCGAGCTGACTCGTAGACGAGGGCTCCCCCCGCGTCGGCGGACAGACCGAGACCCGTTGAATGCGGCACTGAGAGAAGACGGGGCCTCGAGTCTGGTGTGTGCAGCCATAGTTTTAGCATGTACGTGTAGCTTGATGTATATTGGATCTCATGCAGGATTACCACGGGCATGTAACAGAACTGAGTCACACGAACGTTCGCAACGAGTTCAAGCACCGTCTTTGGTCCTCTCTTCACTTGCCCAATACATACGCCGTGTGAAGCATTTCCTTTGTTAGTAGTCCATGGCTGAGGTGAGGGATCATGCAAGGTGGTCTTTATGCTGTCGTTGACCTGAACGCATACAAAGATAGAGCGGCATACTATGTGGCCTGTTGTCGCAGAGCATCCCACTCTTCTCCGATAATACTAACAAAGTCTGCGGCCGTGTGACCATCCTGACAGTCAGATCTTTCTTACATCTGTTCATTTCTTTGATCACCCGGGAACTCCTCGCTCCTCAACTACGGCCGTGTCGAATGACTCGCCTTAAGCCACGTATCCTCATCCTTCCCAGAGCTGGAAACCATAGCAAGTAAGAACTGATAGGAAAGAGAGAGACTCACATCACATCCTGACCAAACACCTCCATCAACCACACATCCCCTCTTTCCTCCCGATTTCAAGGTACTAGCAATCTCGATCGTACAACTAGTCTTCACTCCCGATTCTTTAGTCTCCTTCACACTTGTCCTCACCAACTTCTTTCCTTCTTTCCCTATTTGACACCCCTTCTCCGAATCGATACAACCTTCTCCACCTCGACCTATACATTCGCCTACACCACTCTCTTCCCAATTCACACCCACCGTATCGGCACATGAACGTGCGAGGGATAATTCACCTATATGGGTAGGGAAATCGGCATAGTTGAAACATTCTAACACTGCGTAGAAAGTATCGAGAGGGAGATGATTGAAGAAACATAATTGTTGGAGATTACCGAGACATTCGAGAGGACCATGTTTACATGTTACACCTAGAGGGGAGGATGAGTTGAGTCTGAATGTGAGCTGAAGACGACCGGTTTTATGAGTTTCAAAAAATGAATCAAGGGAAGGAATGTTAATTTGTTAGCGGATGAAATACTTGGTCCCTTGTGGATACTCTTGAGGAACAGGAAGAAGGCAACTTAAGGGACGTTTATTAAATGGAGAGTTTGTGGATGTTCCCGGAATGTTGGCCGAAGCAGACTATATGAAGGTTGGAACAAGGAATGGGAGAGATGAGCAGGTTGTAAAAGAAAAAAACTTACTCTCCTATATAATGCATATCCAAATTCACCTTAGCCAGTACTCCTTCAGTATGTAACACCTCCTTATCAGCTCCCACTCATCTTTGTTCTACGGACGAGCTCACATCGGCGAATACGCTCTCGCACAAGCGCTATATATCAGCCAAGATATCTTCCATTGATTCCATCTGGTGATACCGTGTGGATTGAGGAGACTCACAGCATCAGGACATCGGGACATGACGTATAGTGAGACATTGACTTTAGGCTCGTTTTGTGAGATGGTTATATGAGGTGAGTGAGAGGGGGTGAGATGGTGAAGGGGTAGTTGGTCCCATGATTGAAGATTCAAAAACGAGAGAGGTGATGCTGAGACTCGAGAGTAGGGTAGAAGGATAAGTGGGAGTATGAGATTCATGAGGTAGCGCATGATAATTTAGTGAGACGTTAGATAGAAGCGGCTCACTCAATACTCAACTTGAATGCATGGAGGAGAACTGCTGCGCGCGAAGCATCAAGCCTACTTACTATAAGAACTATAGCGTGGGTGGCTTGCGCAGACTCATGAACAGGAGGAACCGGAGTACCCGGAGAAAACCCCCTGTTTTTGGCATGGGAATTGAACCCATGACCACATTACACTGATGGTTCCCATTCCACCATCAGTGACTAGCCATCCTCAGGAAGACCGAGTGGATGGCGTCATCGTCATCTTTGATCGACCTTTTTAACGCGCCTATTTTGAAGCAAAGCTGCCCCCCGCTCTAGGGTCGGCCAACGCCGCTTCCAGTGACAATTCCTTGTTGTGGCATTCCTGATTCCTGGCTGAGAATAGCTGGAATTCCCCGACATTCCACACGTGCGTGAATAAATTGAAACCTTACCTGCCGAGATGGCCGAGAATTTCAACAGCAGCAGCATGCAGCATGGCCTCATGGCAGGAGAAGTCTCTACCAAACAAAGTGATGAGTCGCAATGCTAACGGGCAATGGCAATGGGCGATGGCGAGAATCCAACTTGGCCCGATCCGCAGGCACGGAACCGCTTCGGGCCTTATCGGCTCGGACCGAAAATCGAAAACCATCTTTCTCAAGGGGGTTTTCTGGCGTTTCATGATCAAAAGCTCACCATTCCTACCTCTTCTTTGTCTTTGAAACGTCACTTGATGTCTCATTCATACGGACAAAACCCCCGTCGGCGTTGTCTCACGAGGGGTTGGAATGATACGGCGTGTGTTCTTCGACCCAGGGGAAAGAGGACGAGTTCGGGAATTTGAATGAAAGAAAGCCACAGGGTTAAAAATCTCATTTAGAAAGTTTCCTTTTCCGAAGAGTGCGACTCCCTCCGATCTCACGCCGAACATGTTGGGGAATGTGCCTCTCCGTTAGCATTCTTACCTGAAGACCGGTACGCCGGTAAATTCCTCGATTCTTCCATTCCACCTAGTTGAGAGGTTAGAGCGAAAGCATATTCTCCTCCTTCAGATGCCTGTGTATTTTGGGGAGTGAGTGGTGAGGCTGAAAAGAGGTTTTTGGAGAGGGAGACCAGTCGGAAAGAAGGAAGATGGATATTTGGGAGGTCTGGGGGTTTGACCGAGCGAATGGATTACAGTATATGGTTGACGATAGAGGAACCCGCCCAGGGTTCTCGGGTCATGTCTCTCCGTTCAAGGCCCCGCACTTTATTTCCCAAGACCTTCATGCGAAATGTCCAAGCCCCGAGTCCGTCATGACTCATCCCCCTTACCTCCTTGGCTTTGATACCCGACAAGGTGGGGACCACGAGTATGGAGGCTCAGACCCGAGATGATAATGTTCAGTGTGGGACCTTGGGTTTTCGTGACAAAACCTCCGATATGAGATGCATGCGTTGGGACGTGGGACCTGTCGCAGGGGTCCGAATCACGCAAGAGGGGTAGAAGATCAGGATCCCGACATCGGGTTACTGACGCATCTTGTCTTCTGATTCTAATGTGATTCTTGATAGTGACTTGTCATCGAGTGTCGTTCAACAGAACTACCATCGAACGCTACGACGAAACGATAGTCTTGAAAAGTTCGGAAAAGACCAAAGATTCGGAGTTGTCGCTCTTGTCACTTCGTATAAGTTTCTTGTATAATTAACAGTGGTCCGATATCTCCCTTGGTAGTAGAACAAGAAATTCCATCACCGATTTTTTCCTACACCGTAACCTTTACACCTCAGATCCGACCCCTACGATCAGCGGATTCATCACCTGGACTCACTCACTAAACAAACGATCAACAGAGTATCATACGAGGACACAGGACCGATATTGATTCACTGCGCAGAGTGCCTGGTGGAGCACGGAGAGTCAGAGTTAGTCTATCTAGCGCATTCCGTCAATCCCTCGAACTCTCCAATAACTCGCTTTTCGCCGGAGTCAGTTCGAGTTGAACCCTGGGAAACTACTCACTGGTGAGTGCCTTCTCTCAGACCCTCCATTATCCATATGCCTGTACTCTCCATGGAGACACGGAATCACGGAGTGTCTATCTTGTGTCGACGGCGAGAGAGGGGGAATGACAGAAACGGGTGAGAAGCCGACTCCGATGGATTCACATGAGATCCGAAACTGAAATTTGTGATTGTCCCTGTGTCTGAATTTTGACGAACGAGATTTGTATGATAGGTGTGTGAAGTGTTGATTGGAAGAGATTTAAAGAGAGGAATGAGAAAGAACGTCGATCTTTTGTGAACACGCCGTCCATCTACTCAGCATTGATGGAGGTTGATGGTACCTTTTCCCCTTTTCCTTGATAGTCTTTATATCCCACATCTTTTCTTATTGTTCTCGAGACTGAACATCGCTGACCAGATTCACAGCGGCTAGCTCCCAACCGACACCTTTTACACCCCACTGCACCACTGTGGCGTTCTATCCCCGACGTAGGATACATTTGAGGGTGGTTGTGTTCAGCACGGACACTCGGGACGTGAAGAAGAAATTCCACCCCATCTCTTACTCCAACTCAATCGTACATTTCCCTCCCCCTTGGCCCTGCCTCACCCCTACCACACCTCACCGCCCTACATCGTTTAAAGTCGCATCAACGTCGTCGACCTTTCTCTTCTGCTTCTGGTCTCATCTTCCGCGTGCGACCATAGGGGATCTCTGACTCATCCCCTTCTTCCATCATTTCATCAGCACGTCGACAGCGTTGATCGAGCTTCTACGTTCATCCCACAAACACATCGCCCCCTTGCCTTTCCCTCCTTTCGACACGTACCATCCTCGTGTCAACCACACTTTCTTGTTCATTCGCTTCTTTCACATTCGGTCTATTGTTCGATCCCAATCAAGTGCCCCCCCCCCCCACCAAGTCGGACCTACCCCCATCGACACAAAAAGCTAAAACTTACCCGACGACCTTTCCCTTCTCCCTCTCTTGTTCTTCATTTTCTTATTCTTCCACAGTCGGTTCTCCAGCAGATTTTATTATTGTTGAGCCATCAGTCGGTGGCGACACAACAGAGGTCAACCTTCCAAGATTGGCTTTGTTCTGGGTGGAATCAAGGACAACAACAAGATAGTCAAGAGAAGCGATAGACATTACGATCAATGGTTACGTCGGAGGGAACGACTCACAAGCAGGTGGTCGAGGGTTCATTGGGTGGATCTGATCCTGTCGTCCTTCCTCGTAGAACCACGCGACATACTGCACAAGCTTTACAATCTCATATCATACCTCCCAATGTACCAACCAGCACCACCACACCACCTTACACATCATGGGACGAAACGCACGGGCATCATCAGGACTCTCCCCACATCGGTCCCATTACGACGGGAGGTCAACCCCATCAACCCCCTCCTCAATTCTTAGCACCTCATCAGATGCATTCCTCCACTTCCTCACCTCACAAAACTCCACCAACATACTCACCAATGGGTCCACCTGCTCCCAATTTCTCCCATGAAGGAGGGTATTTCGTCTCTCCACAATTGTTCACACCGAGTTCGTCGTACTCTTTCCCTCTTCCTAGTGGACAAAGTCAATGGGGTGGTATCACCGAAGATGAGGGGTTCGGCACGGATTTTGATTTCGGGGAAATGACTGAGGATATGTCATCAATGGTTGATTTTGATGCTGGTGATACCGTTTCTATGGCTTCGGCGTCAGTGTCCATGATGTCTCGTACCACTGCAGCCGCAACATCATCCACCATATCTCCTACGAAAAGAGGTAAAATACATACCCCTCGACCTCCCAACGCTTGGATTCTTTACAGATCGGACAAGCTGAAGGCTATCGCAGCTGGGGAGAAAGGTCGCGGGAATCGATCAGATCATGGCGGAGATGGGTGTCGTCAGTGGGAGTGGGAGTGGAAGCGGAGAGGTAACTTCGTCCGGACCGGAAACGGGATTCGACGAGCTGTCAAAAGGTTCAGAATGGAGAGATTTCGAGTAAGGAGATGGACAAAGACAAAGCCAGTATGCCACCTCCCGCACTGCCCAGAGAGCCAAAGGGAAGAAGGCGCAAGACGACGAGGCTCTATCCCTGGGCAGGGTAAGGTGGGTAGAGGTCTACCCCAGGCGGATATTCAGCAGAATGAATAGTTATGCTATGAAGAGAGAGGGTCAGAGTGAGAGCAGAGTTATGAACGCCGTGCAGAGTTGAGAGATGGAAGTGAGTCTGATTCCGTCTGGCGGCACTTAATGACGGCATCTCGTCGATTCTCGTAAAGCCTTTGAATCTGGTCCGCGCGTTCTCATTCCGTGTATTCCAATGATCCCAATGATCAACGCTAACCTATGACAGCATCAAGAAAAGTATCCCGGGATACAAGTTTCAACCCCTGCGTAGGGCCGACAAAATCAAACTGAGGGAAGAGCGAGAAAGAGAGCGTGAGGCATTGCGCAGGGAGAGAGATCAATCCAGATCAACGGGACGTGAGTCGTTGACTAGATCATATGTGTTTAACAAACGTACTGACTCGAAGGGTCACGTAAACCTAAAGCCAAAACAAGAGCTTCTACTGGTTCCCCATATACTGTTCACCCTCCGGATAGACAGAGCGCCTTGGCCAGTCAGTATCTTACATACGACACATCAGATGCCTCCCCTGGGAAGGGTTTTCGGCATGGAGCTCCTGGGCAGAGTGAGTCAATTGCATATGCCGCCCATAGTGTACTCTGGCCTTGATCGTGTTATTTTCCAAAGAACCATGCTCATGATTCAGGTGTACTCCCGAGGGAGGGGAACACGGAGGAACAAGTGCTCAGGAGTTATCCATTCCCGATGCCTCCTGGTTCCTTACCATCCTTACGACGTGAAGATCACGCTGGGAATAATCCATTCGTGGACATACCACCTCCGCCTCATACTCCTCAAAGCACACCATACACTCAACCATCATCTACTATGCCTTCGCCTCATCTTCTTCCATCTCAGTTCCAACTTCAGACTCCAACTCAAGCTCATCCTCAACCCCAACCTCATGTCCTACCTCCGAGTCAAGGTGGGCCTATCGAAGGCGAAAACGCACTGGGACGAGGACAAATGACCTATGTATCTGTCGCTCAACCTTATTACGACCCGACTTTTGGACAATACACCAATCTTGAAGATATACAACAAGATTATCACGTCGTTCCTCTCATGTTAGAGATTCCAGAAGGAAATATGTTGACTGCCGCACCGCACGAATTACCCTCTGATATCGACCCAGGACTCATGGGTCCAGGTGATAGTCCTGGTGCTTTGGCGGCCATGTGGTGCATGATAGAAGAGGAGATCGAAGATTCAGGACCTTCCGGTCTGAGCAATGAAGAAAGAGCAGTTCTGACTCCTTGGAATTCGGATGCTCGTCAGGCGGAAGATCAGTGGATTCAACCTTCTGGTGAGTTGTAGTTTCTTCAACTAACAAAGGATCATCCTGATTGTGATAGGTCTGAACATCTCTTTAAGCTCATCTGCTCCTGCGAGATATACCAGCGTAGCAGCGGATGTAGCTAGTGAATATATCTCACAAAATCAGTATTCATATCCGTATGTGGGTAGTTATGGATCTTACACCGAAGCCCGATTCGATCCAACTCAGACTTATCTATCATTACCATACATTCATCCAGGAGAAAGAGAAGGACCTTTCTTACCTCATCAACCTCTCTCTCCTGTTTCTTGGTCAAACGCTACTACCCCCCGTCAAGGTCATTTCCGTACATCACTCAGTCAAATAAATACCATTCCTCAACAACAACAGTTCTCACAACATCAACAAACACAACATGTTCATCCCAATCCAGAGTATGGATCTAGGACCATTTCCCTCTCAGCAGCTCCACCGAGATATGTTAGCGCATCGGCTTATCCACCCACACCGTTATCTACCGAAAGTCATCATCTGGAACATTTCGACGAAGCGGTATGGGAAGAGATGCCTCCGGTAAGCGAGTCGTATGTCGAACAAGATGTTCAGACTCAACCTCGAACAGGACCACCACGAGGGGGTAGAAGGGGGAGAATAGTTGGGATGAAATATGACGAGGGGAAATGATTCTGTATGTCAGGCGGTTCTTGCTTTGAAATGGTCGTTTTTGTGTATCTTGGACAATACTTTGAATGCTTTATTCGGATAGAATATAGGAGGTGGTGGGTGAAGATGTGATGCTATGCCGTCATAATGAGTGATAGGAATGTATTTATAACGACCAGATGAAAGAAAGAAATCAGTTTTTAGATATCTTGGTACATTCTAAAACGGAGTATACAGACTTGTGTATGATGGTATTACGCATTGTTTCGAGTCCTTTTCTTACTTTGTCTGCCTTATGCTTTCCTGTCGATCTTGCATTGCCCCGCATTCATCCCCCATCGTTCGTCGTTGGCCGTTGGCCGTTGGCTCGTTGGCCCAGCAATAAGGATGAACGGCCCCCCCCCCCATTGCCTTTCCCCCCCCCCCCCCCCCCCCCTTGGTCGTTTCCTTTCACATCCATCTCACTCGGAAAGACTTCCTTTTTCGCAACAATCTCTCTGTTTTTCTTATTCCCATGTAAGATTATATTTTACTGACTCTTCCTCACCTGACTCAGGGTAAGAGTGAAGTACTAACCAAATTCAATTACTCTCTGTAGATGAGATGGATCTCGCAACACAATCTATCGTCTTTCGGAACGAAATTGTGAGTTTGTTTCTCCTATCTTTTCGTTATCCCTTTATGCTCATTTTTACTCGAAGGTCTCCTCATATATTCTATTCCATTATAATTGTTATGAAGCCCTCGTGCCTTTACTCAATCTACCAAGGGACTTCATGAAGCCGATCTTACCACAACTAACTCTCAGTTAATCCCTTCAGGTGGTTGGTTAGCAGATACCATCATCCCACTCTCTTCTTTCTTAGGTATATGGGAATTGTACCTCGTCGCTATACATTTCATCATTTCTTGGGTCATTTTACGTGTTTCTTCGAGGAGCTTTGCATTTGTCAGTGGGTTAATGTGGGATTGGACCATTCCTGCTCAAGCGGCATGTAAGTAATTTGATTCTATTCATTTTAAATCACCTCCCCTCCTCCCCTCCCCCATCCATCCCGGTGGACTCATTGCCCTGAACCTCTTATCTCTCTGCTATGTGTTCGTGTGCCTCGTTTTGGCGATGGTCTGACTGACATGCTTGATCTCCTGTTTCTAACTCAGGAGGACATGCTGTTATTTCCTTCGATCATGTCGACTCCCACGGTGGCTGATCTATAGACAACCCTCGATTGAGACCATCACATGAAGCTCACCTCAAAGTATATTGGCCATTATGGACTCTGACCACATTCATGGAACTCGTCATGGCATTCATCTTACCTGAAGCAACGTACACCTTGGTCGTATGTGCCAAAACTACAATCATGAGCATTTTGTGGTTTGCGAAAATTGATGGGGTGTATGTGAGTGGTTTCTCTTCTCTCTACATCGTCCCCTTCCTCTGCATCACACAAGCATCTTCTCAAATCTACGTACAATATTCATGTCACCGAGCTGGGACTCTCCGGGGGTATATGGTACGAACTTGGCTAATGTGAAGGTGTTGGGAGGCAAGATTAATAATCTCTTTCATACGAATAACGTCTCGTCGGGTTCTAGGAAAAAGAAACGAAGGTTGAATATTGCCACTACGCCCGAAAGACGAGCTCGAAATACGACGAGGAATGCTGTGAGATCATCGGACGAGTCGGAATCTGAAGTGATTCCTGAAGAAAGAACACCTTACGTTTCATCCCAAGAATCTGAAATTCAACCATCTGGCGACCAAATTACACCACCTCCCAGACCAATCCAACGATTACCAACTCCTCAAACACCGCCAGAGTCGGAAACTGAGTCAGACACCCAAGCAGAGCGACTCGGACAAGATCCCTTACAGCCTCTAAACCAACCGATATTTGCCACTTCACATCCTCGCCGAAGACCGCACACGTCTAAAAAAGCAACCAGGACCGGTAAACCCCATCGTTCACCCCCTTCACCTGCTCAGATCACGCCTCCACTACGTGAAACCACTACACAGCCGGACAAAAAGGCAACCACCAAACGGACTGGAGGACCTAAGTCGATTCTCAAGGGACCCCAGAAGAGAACGCTCTTCCGGTATGACGACCAGGCAAACGTGCAGCCCATGTTCGCGCTAGACGATCCCTGGGCAGACTCAACACGAGAAAGGGTGCAGGGTTTCAGGAACAAACCTCCGAAGTGAGTTGATATTCTCACATGACTGTGTATGCTGACTGATTTCAAAGGGTCAGAATCAACTCCGATCTAGATTTTGAACCAGTAAAAAAGTCTCGTAATTCCGTCGCGTGAAGGTTATTGGAGAAATCATAGAGACAAGAATGATTCCGTCGACTTACTTACCAAGACCCTCCTTTGACATTGCACTCCTTGTCCCACTCCACCAAACTCGTGAAAGGATCTTATGAGACCATGTTCGAAGGAGCTGGCAACATTCGCTTTCTTTTAGAGACTTTATTGAATCGATCGCATGAGATGCTTCCACCATGTCGTCTGTCTGGACAGACTTCAGCGCGCCCCTGGAAGATATCGCAAGATACGTCATCGAATCAGTGAGTTTGACAATTTACTTTGTCATTGCTGACCATTAGCTATGGAAGACGGGCTGGCTCGTTGATGTTTTGTCCAAGTTAGGTATCGGTGCACCACTGGGAATATGTATCATCTTTGTTGTATCCTGGGTAGGGGTACGAATAACACCCAAGGAATGGTCTATGACTCTCGCTGCGGGGTATGATCTCATCATTCCACTGCAATATCAACGTGAGTCTAAGCTTCACTTTTACAACATGCCGTTCTTCGTGTCAGGCTCTTTCCTCTTCGCCTTTTCCTGAAACTTGATGTGCGATACGTGTGACCCGATGTAGCTGACTGAATGCACAGACGTCGCAAATCGTCGACCTCAGGATATCGACCACCATGATCGCTATTGGCCCATATGGTCGACACTTACTCTTGTCGAGCTGGCCGCCTACCCATTGACGTACCAACCCTCCTTCACCCTTCTCGTGGCTTTCAAGACACTGGCCATGATGGTGTTTTGGATATACACTTCTCCTTCGGCGAATGGTCCGACCGTCTTCTCCGTTCCCACCTCCTCTCCCAATTCACCTTTGACCCCCCGTACCTCGTCAAGGTCATCCCGGTCCCCTCCTCTTTCTCGCAATGGACACGCTGCAACGCAATCCTCACGCACTTCCAGTCCGAAACCACCGATCATAGAGGAAACATCAGACTTTGAGTCCCAAACTGATACCGATACAGATGATGACGTACCTATCACATCGGAGGAGAAGTTGGTGAGGCTAGAAAAGTTCTATGAGACTCAGCCGGATCAAACATGGTCTGTCAAACTCAATGATCAAGGCAAGGTGGACGAGAAGTGGCTGGATGCAGCGTGGGATCAGATGAAGCGGCGGCGGAGGAGATTGCGGGCAGAAAAGCGGGCCCAGAAGAAACGAGAGAAGGAAGCCGAAGATATGGCATACGCAGGAGAAGGAAGAACCAAGTCTCCGAAGAATAAGGCAAACGGCATGCCACAGCGAAGCGTTGAGGAGTCACCACCTGCTTCCTCCGAAGAAGAACAGGGGCGTCGTGCACGTACTGCGCGAAAGATCGAAGTTACTACCCGTCCGCAGCGACAAACGCCACGTAAGGACCTCTCACCACGTAGACCGACGGGGCCAGAAGGACTCGTGCCCGATTCTACGGAGGATGTCGTCGGAGAGGACAAATCTGGTCACTCAGATCAAGAGACCGAAGGTCAAGATGACCAGGCAGTGGAAGTCAACGGTCGAAAGCAACGGTCCGAAGCATTGGCAGACGACGAAACCGATTTAGCTGACGTGGAAGTGAAAGACAGACAAGAGACAGAAGAAGAAGGCGATCCCGTAGACGAGCTTCGGCGGGCAATACCCAAGCCGGGAGAAGATCATCAGGAGCCACCATTCGAGATAGCTGAAGAGGCGAAACATCCAGTCTCGGCATCCGACGCGGAGGATGCAGCATCGGATGAGAAGGGGGAGGTGGAATACGCCACAAAGGAAGCGGCCATAAGAAATCTAGAGGATGCTGGATTCGAACACCCACTAGGAAAGGTCATGCGCAAACGTCTCATGGCAATCAAGGATCCTACGGCACGGCGGGCGAAGTGGGATGATTGGATGCAGATGAAAGAATTGGACCCTCCTAGATTCGAATACACACGGAGATGGTATGAGGCTAAATATCGTCAAGTGTACGAACGATACTTGAGCGAACGTTCATCGGCCTCGACCACGGAGCTTGCCACTGCCACCGACACCAGCATATTGGAAGAGTCCGATGGAAACCGTACAGATCATGACAGTGACACGTCTCAGACGCGCAAACGTAAGGCACCTTCCAATCGTAAGACTCCGCTCCCTCAAACCGACGAGGGAAAATTGGAGGTACTGAAGACTGCTGGTCTTACGAAGGAGAGAAGTCTGGAGATGATGCAAACTTTGTCTGACACGAATGACAAGAATGCGCATGAGGCATTGTGGAGAACGTTCCTCAAGGAAGGAATGGAGCGAAAGGCTCTAGGGGAAAGGGGTGATCAGAGTGATGCCGATGAGGTTATTGATAATACATTGGGTCAGTTATTTGGCTCTTCGTGTCGATATTATTTTCGCTGAACTTATCCAGGTAGCCAGGCGCCTTCGCGCAGAGGACCCAGGAATGTCAGAAGGCGTTTGACACTCAGGTCCTCCCGGGGTAGTACACCTGAGAGTCTCCAAGGGCGACGGAACAGGAATGACGGGGGAATTCTTGACGGTCTCTTTCACCCAGATGATTTGGTAGATGAGCGACAAGGCACCGACGATACCGATAGGGAACATGAAGTGTCAGGCGATGATACAGACCAAAGCGCCAGGCGACAACACGATTCTTCAAGCCTACAAGAAGAAGAGGTGACAGAGGAAGAAGGAGAAGATGATGACGAAGTTGAAGATTCCTTTCAAATAGCAACAGACGATCGATTTCCTGATCTGGACGAACAACTCCGAGAAGAAGGGTTTCACGATAGTATCTCTCGTCGTGGACTTATACTTGCTCTCTCCCAACTGGATGACAATAAGGCCCAGAGGAAAGTTCGGCAATGGCTAAAAGAATCGGAGGAGGAAAAGGAAGAGCGGATGAAAATATATCATCCCATCGGACAAAAGTACGTTCAAAAGGAAAACAAGTCTTCATTGAACGCGATGCAGGATTTTTACATGCATGACGCAGCTCCTTCCATCGATCCTGAAGACCAAGAGGCTGATTTGAAACTTGAACAATTAGGAGTTGATGAACCATGGGCTCGTAGAGGTTTTCATGACAATTATAAAGGCAGAGAGGATGTGAAAGCTAAAAGATTGAAAGTGTGGGGAAAACTTCCTCAGTACAAAAGACGTGAATTTATGCGTATATTGTCAGAAAAATCAAAGCGTAATAATGGAAGGAGAACGTTATGGGCTCCATGGTATGGAAACCCGAAGAATGTAGGAGGTTTACAAGAAGATGAAGCGGATATCTTAGCTGAGAAGTATAGAGGATTATTAGAGAAAGAAGAAGAAGATACAAACCAAGTGAACACAAGAGTCGAGTGGTTGAGAAAAGGTTTGAAGAAGAAGAATGGAAGACATTGGACGGACGTAGCTGCCGAGGCTTTTGAGGTAGGAGTGGATTTACGTAAGTTCGAACATCAACTTGCGAGAAGGTTGATAATCGTGTACGATTGGCCGAATGCCCCAGCGGAAACAGCACAGAAGTTGTTGGATGGCTCAGAGGGGACAGGGTGGGAGAAAGATATCAAAGCCGCGTTGAACGCCGCGGATCAAGGTGATAGTTCTAGACTGAAGGAGTTGGAGGACAATTTCTCATAGACTCTAAATGGCGACAGTGACCGTTGAGGGATATGGTGTGTAATTGCTACATACTGGTGAAAGTGCCGGAGCGAGTAGCGTCTCATTGTCTCAGGCAGAAGTGAAGCATGAAAACAATACATCTAGAGTACAGTATGTACATATGATGGATGGGATGACAAAAGTTGCCAAATCTAACACACTACACAACATCTCACCGATTCGTGCTGATCACTGATATCCAACAAGTCCTTCAAGCAAACTCATGATACCCAACACCTTTTCCTCTTGCCACATCTTTCCAACCACCTGTACACCAACAGGTAAACCCGCCATTGCTGATGCATCGTATGCTGCATCGGGACCGGTGTACACTCTCTTTTCCAAGATCCACGAACCGGTGCTATCCTTCAAAAAGTCAGAGGGGTGGACGTCGAGAGAAGGATCGACCCGAGTTACGGGTAAAGTACCTACGGTCGCTTCTACAATGTTGAATAAGATGCACCAGATTCTGTTCCATCAGTTCATCACTCACTTGCCGAAAACATCTGCTAAGGATTTTGCCAATGCTGTGTTAGTCGTTTTGAGGGGCCGAAAGGGGGATAAGGGATGAGAGATATCGACCACTCAGGTCGAAGGAGGATATCACTCACGCAAGAGGAGAAAGAAATTTAGTCTTGCCATGTTTCAAAGCTGGTGTAGCCATGACGGGACATATCAGAGCGTCGAATTGACCCACATCCCATGCCTTCTTCGTCAGATCCAAACGATCGTACGACTTCATACACTCACCGCTTCGCGAAATTGTTGTGCATACATGTCACGTCGATAAGTCCATTCCCAATACTCTGGCACGGACTTTCCTCTTGAGACAGCTGGGGTTGAGTTATGCCGAGCACAAGAAGTAGTTGTACTCACCGAAAGCTCCGCCGAAAATCTCGTCTTTGAGGATGTGGCGGACAAACCATTGGGCTGCCCACTGCACCCATCCGGGCATTTTGGATCCCAGTACAACCTGGCTTCAGCGCTTGTCCGTCGCGATCATCAACAGCGGGGTACCTCCGTGTAAGGGAGTGATCCTAGGGGAGTAGGGAAAAGTGGATTAGGAAATGACTCACCAACTTCATCGATTCCTCCAGTTCATCAGACCCAACATTGCTCAAAAGCTGACTATATCTCTCCGCAGAGGTGAGAGCGACGAAACACTGACATGAGCGCTCGCCTTCATCCATATCGGAGATGACGTACCTTGAAAGCCTCCAGGACTGTCCTTGTCAGTGACTATCATGGCTAGCCAAAAGCAACACTTACTTGGAGGCGGATGGAAGATTACCACTTCGTGTCCGGCCGCTCTCAATCTTTCAACACAAACATTCACTGCTCTAGCACATGCGGGACTGGTCTTCATCATCAGTGCTCACCCATCAATCAGTTCATGATATCTGACCTTGACACAACCATCTTCAATCATATAACCTATTTTCAGTTTTTTCGGTAGGTTGGGCTCGGTCCACGGCAACGGTATGAGGTCCTCTCCAGAACTCGGAAATGCCAAAGCGAGTTGTGTGATGGATCGTGTTTGATAAATGAGATCGGTGACGTTTCTCGCTATTGGCCCATGCATGGTCTTGATAATCAGCTACGATACATCAGAGGCCTTCAAACTCACTTTAATTCCTTCAAAACCTTTCACGGATCTTCGCGTTCCCCTAAAGGGCAATCTGCCTCGGACAGGTTTGAGACCACAACACCCTGAGTATGCAGCTGGTATACGAACGCTTCCACCGGCTTGAGCTCAGCTATTCTCGTTCTGAGACGAGGAGAGTGATGACGAACTATCATTACCCCATCCAAGAGGAGTTCCGCGAAGGACAACCATGACGGCCTCTCCACCAGAACTACCACCGCAAGTCCGATCAGAGGCATGTGGATTGGTCGTCCGTCCGAAGATTGGATTACAGCATTCGAAGGCCAACAAAGTCTTGCATCAGTAATGTACTGATCAGTCAGAGCTGCTGAAGACTCACTTGTGGGACGTTCGTTTTGCAGAATGGAATACCTCCGCCTTGGCGGAAAAGCTTGACGAGCTTCCAGATTAGTCAAGACGTTGAGGTTTGTGAGTTAAAGAGACACGTACCCCGAGTTCATCGTCCAAAGTGGAAGGCTGAGATGTGTGCCTAAAGATCAGTTGTCTCTTATGGAAGAGTAGGGAATGAGACCCACATTGAACATCCCAGAGAGGTATCAACCCCGGCAATGTTGAAAGTGTCTGATGATGTCAGCTACGGACGTTTGGTGGGACGACACTATGTGCCCAACCTATCGTGAGAGTCCTCTTAGCTAAAAGGTATTTGGAGTAGGAGACAGTTACCAATGGCACTTTCCCACGGGCGAATGCGATCGGTGCAAGGAGGACATGAAGATTATATGAGTTGAAATTCAATAGGAGACGTGAAGTGACCTTTGAAACTACTCGGTAACCCCCAAAATGGCCCATCTGGCTGAACACCACTGGCAAGCTCTTTATCTTTCTGCTGCGCTTCATCGAGAGCTTCCGTGAACAACACTGTCCATCAGCTCTCCAGATCTCATCATAACTACACATTCCATCATGCACTCTCGCCACGAGCTCACACGACTTCAAGATACACGTCAAGGAGAGAGATGGGCGGGAACGATCCCATGGAAGAACATCTTTGCTTGAGAGGTTAAAGATAACATCGTTTAGAGGGCTGATGATGAGTGACCTACCTTCAGTCAAACAATTCGTCTTCCTATGTGCCGCACAAGCCGCTCGGATCTTTCCATCAGCTTTCGACAGCCGCTGTAATGAAACTTGATTCTTCGAGAAACTGAGATAAGAAGAGGAACATGAAGAGGACGTACATAGGCGGAAACTACACGTTCAACTGACCAACCCTCCTGGCGGGACTTGAACCTGGATACAATTTCCTGTGGACTGTTCATCAGACCAAGAGTCCTTTGGAGATGATCCATCGTGCGTCAACAGCTTTTCAAACATGTCACCCAGGCTGCGATAACGCGTGAGTCGGTGTTAGGTTGACAAGAGTATCGCGCAGAAGAAGAGGAGTGGTGAGGGGAATGGTAACAACTCACGAAGTCATAATTATCTCTTGGTCCTCTGGATGATCATCTTGATAACCCAAGAGATTCTCCATATCGGAGATCAACATTTCCCTCTCTGCGCATTTCTTCTCTCTGACTTTGGCTGTAGACGGCATCGTTACTGATATGCTTGATCGTTATCGATTCCAACTCCACTTTAAGCTGATGAGGCGAAAAGTAGTCACAGCAGGTAGTTACGGTAGATGGGGAATGCTGAATGCATCGACGATTTGGGGTGGACGGACCAGGTGGAGGTGCGGAACCAAAATTTCATCCAAAATCTCACTTTTAGCAGAGCGATAGCACCGAGATTGTCGTGAGTGCACAAGTCTAGATGCAATTCATTATCTACACAAGATATCACTATAGATACCATCCTCCTCTCATATCATTCGGGACAGAAGTGAAGAAACACTATGTTGTGCTATCTGGTACGAACTCGCGCCATGAACGAACTTCTGATGGGTTTGTACCTTCCACATAAGGTAATGGTGAATGGTGGAATTTCCTCTGAAGCGTCTCGGTGAATAGAACGGCCAACTTGGCATTATTGATCAACTATGATATCAGTCAAAGTAGAGTCAGACAGACGATGAAGAGACTCACGGGGATACCGAAATCGACAGCAGCTCGACGACTGGCATAATCAGCATCAAGAGTGTCGGCAGCTCGACTTCGAGAAATGTTGATGACCATTCCTACTTCATGTTCTTCCAACACTTCTCTGAGCTTGCGTTTGTCTTTGACGGGAATGAGGATCTTTTTGATGGACAAATAGGGTTGAGTGTTGATGTGACGTTCAACCTCAGCGGCTGGGTGTCAGCTACCACTCTTTGCTAAAGTGGTTGAAATATGATGTGACAAGGGGATGGGAAAATCTCAGGAGCGCAAGCACTCACAATGTGTGTACAAATGAAACCCTAATCTCATCAGATTCGCCGCTACTTCCACCATCTCCGGTCTAGTAATATCACCTCCAAGAAGGATCCCACTATGTGGTCTGGGTAATTTGAACCCATTCACACTCAATAAAGCCGCCCAATAAGCCTCATAGATATCCCTTCCGAAACTTGCCACTTCACCCGTAGAAGCCATCTCGACACCCAAGAATGGATCCGCCCCTGGTAACCGGGTCCAACTGAATTGAGGAACTTTAATCGCCACATAATCACGTTTCTGTTTCATCAAATCCACCGGTTCTGGGACTGCAGTGTCCATGATGGCCGCGGAGGCGATATCGATAAAGTTGACTCCTAGCACTTTACTGACAAAAGGGAAAGAACGAGATGCTCGGAGATTACATTCGATGACTTTCAATTCTGCTTCTCCCGAAGTAGGGGGTTTACGGATGATTTGCATGTTGAATGGACCCGAGATGTGGAAGGCACTGGCGACTTTCTCGGCGATTACTTTCAGACGATCCAAGTCTGATTCGGGTAATGAATAAGGTGGAAGGACCAAGGTTGCGTCACCGGAATGAACTCCGGCATTTTCGACATGTTCTGATACGGCGTGGATGAGAAGTTTCCCTTTATGAGCGACGGCGTCAACATCGATTTCTTGTGCGTTATCGATGAATTGGGAGATGACGACTGGATGAAGGGGAGAAACATCGGCAGCGGCGGAAAGTCGTTCGTGAAGTGTTGATTCGTCCCAAACGACATTCATCGCAGCGCCAGAGAGAACGTATGAAGGTCGAATAAGCACAGGATAGCCGACGAGCGAAGCAAACTCCTCAGCAGCTTTGAGAGAGGTAGCTTCCGTCCAGGCTGGTTGGTCGATCCCCGCGGCATCAAGGATGGAAGAGAATTTATGTCTGTCTTCTGCATTGTCGATTTGTTCAGGGTCGGTTCCAAGGACTTTGACGCCGGTCTGCTTCAAACGAAGGGCAATGTTCTGAGGGAGTTGACCTGATCATCAGCATGTCTCTTGAAGGTGTATGAGGTAGACTTACCGCCCACGCTGACAACCACACCCTCAGCTCCTTCCAGCTCGTAGATATCCATGACTCGCTCAAAGCCCAGTTCCTCAAAGTACAACCTGTCTGCCTCGTCAAAGTCCGTGGACACCGTCTCAGGGTTATAATTGATCATTATCGTTTTCTTCCCCAGATCACGGATTGCACGCGAGCAGGTCACAGCACACCAATCGAACTCAACCGAGCTACCAATGCGATAGACTCCAGAACCGAGGACCATCGTACCGTGTTCATCGAACTCAAGATCGTGCGTCGTGGCATTGTATGTCGTATAGAGGTAGTTGGTGTAGGCCGGGAACTCCGCCGCCAAAGTATCGATCCGTTTCACGAAAGGAGTGATTGCAAGTGATTTCCTGAGTGCACGAACCTCATTTTCCGACGTCGAGCCCAATTGTGACATGTGTAGATCCGAGAATCCGGTTTTCTTGGCTGTCATGACCATTTCTTTGTCCCATTGGTCGAATGGAACAGCCCGTAATTGCCGGTATACAGTGACGATGTTCTCAAGTTTGTACAGGAACCACTTATCAATCTTCGTCAAGTCGTGCAAGGTGTCCACAGTATAATCAAGATTCAACATCGCATGGGCGATAGCGAACAGACGTCGATCATTGTTCGCTGTCAGAGCCGTCGTTATGTCTTCAGGTTTCCAGTAAGCGTCAAAACCTGCGAAACCCGGGTCAACCTGTCGGATGGCTTTTTGCAATGATTCTTCAAAAGTTCTTCCGATAGCCATGACCTCACCAACAGACTTCATCGCTGACCCCACAGTCCGCTCCACATGTTGAAACTTGGCCAAATCCCACTTGGGAATTTTGGTTACAATGTAGTCCAGGGATGGTTCGAAGCAAGCGGTGGTGGATTTGGTAACGGCGTTGGGGAGTTCAGGAAGAGTGTGTCCAAGAGCGATTTTAGCGGCGGTGTATGCGAGGGGGTAACCAGTAGCTTTGGATGCCAAAGCAGAAGATCGGGAAAGACGGGCGTTCATTTCGATGACACGGTAATCACGAGATTCGGGATCAAGAGCGTATTGCACCTAAGTCCATCAGCCTTCGAGCGTTGGTTGGAGATGTGTTACTGACATTGCATTCACCCACGACACCAACATGTCGCACGATTTTGATTGCGGCTGATCGTAACATGTGATACTCGTCATCTGTCAGAGTTTGTGAAGGTGCCACCACGATGGAATCACCGGTATGTGTACCGAGAGGGTCGAAATTCTCCATATTACAACATATGATTGTGTTCTGTCATTAGCTTGGGTCATTCTTCAAAGCCAGACTCACATCTGCAGCATCTCTGACAACCTCATATTCGACCTCCTTCCACCCTTTCAAACTCTTCTCTATCAAGACTTGAGGTGATAAACTCAAACTTTTGGCAGCAAGATTTCGAAGCTCCTCCTCGTCATGAGCGAAACCACTGCCCAAACCACCTAAGGAGAAAGCCGAACGAAGGATGATGGGGTAACCGATGGTCGCTGCCGCGTCCAAAGCACCTTGTATGGTGGAAACAGCGGTTGACTGGGCAGCCGGAATGTCAATCTCATTCAACGCTTGCACGAACAGATCTCGGTCCTCTGACACTTCCAATGTTCTGATGGGTGTACCGAGCACCTTCACTCCTAACCGTTCCAACACGCCCATCTTATCCAGCTGTATACCAACATTGAGGGCTGACTGACCTCCAAAAGTGAGAAGGATACCATCAGGTCGTTCTTTTTCGAGCACATAGGCGACATAATCGGCGGTGATGGGTAGAAAGTAGATTTCCGAAGCGAGATGATGTGATGTTTGAATGGTAGCGATGTTGGGATTGATGAGGATTGTGGAAATGTTGCTCTCCCTGAGAGCTTTAATGGCTTGGGAGCCTAGCTGTAAGCTTTTGGGCATACCATCAGAGTGGGACATACCGGAATAATCAAACTCTCCCGCTTGGCCAATGCTCAATCCACCACTGCCTACGACCAACACTTTACGCACGTCTGGCTTTTCCAGCTTTGGCAATACCTTTGCAGATATACGCCTTGCCAGCTCGGAAGGAGAGTTGAGGGTAGGCTCGCCATCAACGGGAGCATACGCACCGACGGCAGGGGCTGCGACTGCATAGTTACGTTGAGCTGGAAGCCGTTTGACTGGACGGAATGAGCGAGGTCGAGCAGGAAGGGCGAGAGACCGGAGGGTAGATGGTACAGCCTTCATGCTGACCAGTGTCATCCAGAAGGAGAGCTACCCACCAATGGCCACCGAGTCAAGGTAGTAGGTGATGGTATAGGGGGCGGGGTGGGGAAGGTATCGATGGCAGAGGAGAAGTATCTTTGGCGGATGGAAATTTGCTTTTTGCTTTTCTCTGCGACTCGCTCTTGGCCCAACATAATTCAGGCACAAGGGAGTACACGTGGCATTTCATCATTTCTGTTGAAATTCACGATCTAGTATGGATTCATAAGATCTTAGAGAACTATCTAGAAGAACTATCTAGATATATATCGTCCAGGGGATACGTAGTCCTTAGTCATCTTTCCCACGCTCTAACTCCTTATAACTCCGCAGTGTGGCGGGTCACCATTCAACACCCCCCTTGACACGATCACACTGCACGTACACCCTACTGCCACACTCAAACAACTTATTATATTTCCGTAATCCCTCGTGTCCTTGGACCCTGAAAAATTTTCCCACACTCCACGCAAACATCACTTTGTCTCCTTTCTTTACCTATCCATTCCAACAACCAACTCCTCTTATTATTTCTCATGTCTTATCAGTCGAGTATCTCCGGTACGAAGTGTCTCCTGGAAGTCATGAGTTCAATTCCCCCACGTGGTTTTCTGTAATCCTCTATGTGGCACACCCTTGCGGGTGTTGCTCAGGAGTCGAGCGGTATGTGGCACACCTTGCCGGTGTTGCTCTGCCGCTTGAGCAGGATTTGCTGGGGTTCTCTTGTCAAACCTTGTAATACGGTCAATGAGTTTCTTTGTTGTTGTAGGATTATGAGCTGAATATGTATATGGATGCGAGGTTATTGTGTGATTACCGAGACGTTGTTTGATAGGAATATGATGTTTACCAAGACGGTGAGTTGTGAGAGTTTCTTTCTTCGCTAGATGTCCCCACTTTTCCTCATACGTCCTTTCCTTTTCTTTTGGAGTTTTTACTATGACACGTATTGACAATGACGTTCCGTCTTGTTCAATTGTTTTCTTGTGTGTCATCACGGTTGAGTGTGTTGTCGTTTCGTCTTCCGTCGGACTATGATTTTCTTCCACTTTTGCGTGTGGACAATCATGACGATAATGACCTTCCTCTCCACAGTTCCAACATCCTTTACGTTGTTTCTTATGTTTACGCCACATCTTATTCTTTGTCCCCATTACCACGAGAACTGTTCCGTATGTCACCACTGCAGCCATGCCGCTTTCCGTGACTACTTTCTCTGGTCTAATCCCAATATTTTCTGCGTGTCTCCAATGTGCCGTTCCACCCACTGGTTTTGTGAAGATGTCTGCTTCTTGGAGCTCTGTCTCCACATATTCCAACTTGATCTTTTCTTGTTCGACGTGATCACGGATGAAATGATATCGGAGATCTATATGTTTACTGCTTTTATGATGACCGGGATTGTTTGAGAGAGCTATTGCTGACTGATTGTCGCAATGAATAAGAACGGGAAGGAATGTTTCTGTCTTGATTCCAAACTCTTTGAGAATACTGAGAACCCATGTTACGTCTTTGATTGTTTCTGTCAGAGCCATATACTCTGCTTCGGTTGTAGACAATGCTACACCCTTTTGTTTCACCGTTCCCCAACTGACTGTTGATCCGTGATATTTGACAACATATCCGCTTGTTGATTTACGATCGTCTAAATCTCCAGCCCAGTCAGCATCACTCCATGCTTCCAATAACTTTGTCCCCTCTTTCCCACCTAATACTAATCCGTGGGTACGTGTACCTCTAAGATACTTGAGGACATGGATTCCAGCATCCCACGCTGCTTCAGTGGGATCTGCACAATAGCGACTGAGTACGCCAACTGCATAAGCAAGGTCGGGTCGTGTGGTTATAGCTGTCCACATCAAACTTCCAACTAATTGTTGATAACGTGTAATACCTTCCTTGCAGGCTGGACCATTTGCTTGAAGCTTTGTTTTCGAATCAAAAGGAGTGATAACAGGTCGTACATTGGTAAGACCATATTTTTCTAGTAGCGTATCAATATAAGCTGTCTGCGTAAGACATATTGTACGTTCTGAACGGTTTCTTGTAATCTTCAATCCTAACATGAATTGAGGTTCTCCAGCGCCGGTCATCTCCCACCTTTGTGAGAGTTCTTCTTTGATAAGATTGACCGTGTTGATATCTTCAGCTGCAATGAGGAGATCATCAACATACGCAATAATATATGCTTTCTTCTTTCCTGTAAAGCGGTACACACCCCAATCTTGAGCTGTACGACGGAATCCAAGCGTCTGAAGATGTTCATCCAACGCTTCCCACCATGTCCGTCCTGCTTGCTTCAAACCATACAACGCCTTGTGTAGTTTGACACTATCACAACCTTTCTTCAATTTGTATCCTGGTGGGCTTTGCATGAAGATTGGTTTATCGAGTTTACCATTTAAGAAAGCTGATACGACGTCCATTTGACCTAGTTCTAAATCTTCTTGAGCAACAAGAGTGAGGAATATACGAAGAGAAGTGAGTCGAGCAACAGGGGAATAGGTTTCATCAAAGTCTTGACCAGGGATTTGAGAATATCCCTTCGCTACAACACGAGCTTTGTACTTGAGGATAGCACCATGTTGATCACGCTTGGTCTTGAATACCCACTTGCTTCCAACAAGAGTTCTCTCTGCTGGAGCAACCGTGTCCTCCCACGTCTCCGCTTTCTGAATGCTTCCTAATTCTGCATCCATAGCCTTTTTCCATTCCTTAGCTAATGGAGAGCGTATAGCTTCCTCATATGTCTTTGGGTCGTTATCTAAGATACTTCCTTGTACTGTCAACACCCATCCCTCTTCTTGCTCGTCACTACTGATGAGCTGAGGTCCTTCAAGAAGTAGAATTCTTGGTTTTCTTTGACGTGTCGATCTACGTGGTTCTATTGCTTGTTGTACAGGCAATTCTTGTTCCTCTGTTTCTCCTGTCACATCCTCGCTTGGGTCTACAGGCTGTTGAGGTTCTTCAACTACAGATTGTTCTTGTTCTTGTACGTCTTCAACTGGAGTAAGTTCTGACGGGATAGGAGTAGTGGAACGGACTGGAGGTGTTGTTGATTCTGGGATGAGAGGAGGAGTACGAGTTGTTGTTGTTTCAGGAGGGGGAATGTCGTCCTCAGCCTCCTCTGGCTGACCTATTGCCTGCCTCTCCGTACCACTTTCCTTCTCTACATCACTTCCAGCATCCTTCTCCACGTCTACCACATTCTCCAACTGTGATCCCCCCTGCCTTGGGAAAACCACGTCTCTTGTATTTGTGAAACTGTCCGTGACAGGATTCCACACAATATATCCAGCTGACGTAAATGGGAGACCTACAAGTCTACCTTTCCAAGCTTTTGGAAGAGTTAAGTCTGCCTTTCCTCCACGTACTTGAGATGGAATATGGACATAGACGTCGGAACCAAATGGATGGAGATCTGCAAGGTTGGGTTTACGTCTGAAGAATCGTTCATAGACAGTGATGCCATCTTCTCCAACCCTACACCTGTTCAGCATACCACTCGCATGAAAGAGTGCGTACTGCCAAAACTTCATTCCTAGTCCACTTTGACGTAGGAGTGCTCCAACCATCTCCTTCAGAGTACGGTTCATTCTTTCTGCAACTCCATTGAGTTGAGGTGTATACGGTGTGGTTACTTGATGGATGATTCCATTATCTCCAATGAATCTATCCCAAACTCCACCTGAAAATTCTAAACCGCCGTCGGTACGTATGATCTTGACCTTTGCTTCGGCAATATTTTCTAATCTCTTGACGGCGAGTATCATACATTGTGTTGCTTCTCCCTTGTTCTGGAGAGCCATACAGACGACTAGTTTCGTGAAGTCGTCCACTATACTGAGATAGTACTTTGATCCTTGATATGATAATTGGAGTGGACCAGCGAGATCACAATGAAGGATTTCGAGAGGTTTTGTTGCACGAACAGGAACATCGGTAAATGATAGACGGGTTGATTTGCTGATCATACAGACATCACATTGATCTCCTGTAAAAGGTGGTTCTGTTGGTTCAATCTTGAGTAGATTTGCTTTTTCGAGCTTCTTGATTGACGTAACTCCAACATGTCCCAATGACTCGTGCCAATCCTTCAATGTCTTGCTTGGTATAGGGATCTCACCAGACGACGCTAGTGCAGAGCCCTCTTCTACTTTATGGCGTGGTAGATGTACTGTCATAAATCTCGAATCTCGGTCGCAGCACAAGCAGTTTATAAAGGGTCTCAGCTCATACTATGAGCTGAGCATTGGATCTTTTAGCACAAGAGCTTAGTGCACGTCTGTCACGAACTACGTCGTGACACCTCGATTATTCCACCAACAACGACCCTCCTTTGACCATCAAAACCCCATCACGACTCAAACCTCTTTACTCTACACGTAACTCAGGACCTCTGAGACCAAGGACGGCGAAGTTAGATGAAGTTAGGGTAAATAGGGACAATGGGAGCAGAAGTGCGGTGAAGTTAGGCGGAGTTAGGCTAGGTAGGGACAATGGGAGCAGAAGTGCGGCGATATTAGGCGGAGTTAGTCGAAGGAGGAGGAGGATGGCCGGGGTTCGGGGAAGTTGGACGAAGTGCGCTGAAGTACGTCAAAGCGCGGGAGGGTTGGATGAACGTCTAGGAGGGATAGGTCATATTAGTTGAGAAGATCGCTGAAGTTCTTCAGCGATCCTTGATTGTTGTCAGTAGTAAAAGACAAATAGAGATTGCTATACATCGAGATACATCGCCATCAATAGAACAAAGCCTTAGTTAGAGTAACTACGCCGAAGTACGCCGTAGTTACACTCCTTTCGACGTCTGCGCCCTCCTGGTTGGGTGAGACATCGACTCAGAAGCGTGAAGTTAGCCGAGGTTCGTCGACCGTCGGTCTATAAGGAAGAAGTTGCTCGACGGCCGTGACAGTATCAAGGATCGCTGTTACCGACGACCCGTGCGAACCTCGGAGAAGTACGAAGATAATATGGAACCAGAAAGGAGAGTCACACGAGGCATGAGTAGGAGTGACGACAGGATGGAGGAAAATGAGAGGAGAGCGTTGGAGGAGCTTAGAAGAGCAATGGGACAGGACCTTGGGATGGAAGATAGTGTAGGGGGGTCAGTTCAAGGAGATGAGTCCATTCCACCAATACCTTCTAATCCTCCTACCCCTGCGGGCGATGCTCCCCCGCCTATCGGATCCCCAGTTGGATCGGATCAAACTCCGCGGCCAGAAAACGCTGGAAGTGGGACGAACTTCGGAGAAGGAGGGACACAAGGGGTGATGCTAGCCTTGATGCAGATGGTGGCAAACATGAACAAGGATATGATGGAAGAACGTAGGCGCAGGGAGGAGTGGGAGCAGAGGAGGGAAAGGGAGACAGTAGGGGGAATTGCAGAAGGGATATCTGAAGGGGTGAGGTACGCCATGGGACGGCAAACTTCGGCGACTCCAAGCGTAGTTGGGGAACAACGGAAGGGTATCAAGTTGCCTAATCCAGACTTCTGGAGAGGAGAGCGGAATAAGTTGACGGCCTTTCTGTCCGAGTGCGACGTACACTTCGAATTAAACTCTCATCTTTTCCCCGACGACACTAAGAAAGTCTTTTTCATGATCTCTCATCTACGCGAAACACCTCTTCTTGCAGTGCAGCCCGATCTATCCAAAAGACCTCTTCCTGAGTACCTCACGACACACGATCAGTTCGTTAAGTACCTCAAGACTAACTTTGGTGATCCAGACGAAGAAGGAACTGCGGCCCGACAACTTAACGACCTCAAGCAAACCGGGTCTGCTTCGGACTACTTCTCCGCCTTTCAGCGACATGTTGCGATTCTCAAGTGGTCTGATGATGGAAACCTAGTTGACCGAGCCAAGAAAGGACTAAAATCGCACCTTCTAGATGAAATCGCAAGACACGGTAGATCGTTTGGGACTGTAAAAGAGCTATTGGAGTTTGTGATTCCCTTGGACAACCGCCTGTGGAGGAGGCAAGTGGAGAAGGAGGCAGAGAGGAAGAGGGAAGGGGGGGCAAAGACGACTACGGTGGTGGAAAGTCAGAGGACGGAGAAGAAAGAAGAGAAGAAATGGGAAAAGGGACAACCTTCGGCGCAGGTTGGTGTCCAAGCGGCCATGACGTCCACGGTGGTAAGGAGTGCGCCGCCGAACATCGACGAAGTTCGCCGAAAATGGCCTAGGCCAAGCTCCGATCTGAGGGAGACAAGGAGGAAAGAGGGGAAGTGTACGGAGTGTGGTGAAACAGGACATTGGCTGAAGGAATGTCCTGTAAGGGAGGCTAAGGTTAAGGTTGGACTGTTGCCTCCATGGGGGGAGAAGTTCGGAGAACGTGGTGGAGGATCGGGAGGGAACGCAGTACCTCTCGGACAAAGGAGGAACTTGAATGCGGTTGGAGGAGAAGTAGATTTGGAAGAGGACCAGGGAAAAGAAGAGGACCTGTCGCAGTAGGCGAGGCTCGGCGGGTCCGCCATATTCTCTCGGCCACCATTCCCAAACCCATAAACGAAACACAGCTGATGGAGCCAGAGGATTGTGAATACAAAAATACACCACTCAGTACCCCTTGTTCATGCAATATCAATAATCACCTCCTCATCCCTTCCGTTTCCAGAGATCAACCTAAATCGGACATTTTCATTAATGGAATAAAGCTAACTACGCTCTGGGACACTGGAGCTACTTGTTCATATATAAGCCCTAGGGCAGCAGCGAAGATAGGTGTAGAAAAGAGGCGATATCAGGTGAGCGTACCCGTTCACATGTTCGACGGCTCGGTGAGTGTCGCTGGACCTATCACCGAGTTTGTCGAAGTCGGATTTAGTTTGACGAAGGACGCCGAAGTGCGATCTGTTCGTCTCGATGTAACAACGCTCTGCGACGCAGATGTTGTGATAGGGTGGGATTGGATGAGGAAGGAAGGGGTTGTCCTTGATGGAAGAGACAACTCGGTGAAATTTCCCATCCCAGCCTCACCAAGTGCGGCGAAGTTAGCGGCCATAGGGCTGCCGACTCCGACGGACGCGATAGATCTCCGAGACAAAGATGATCAGGATGAACTGAGTCCGGAGGAACAGGAGGAATTGTATCAGGTGGTTCCTGAACAATACCACTCGTTCATTGATGTCTTTAACCCAAGGAAGGGAGGTGAGGAATTACCTCCCTCGAGGAGCTATGATTTGGAGTTTGATCTTAAGGAGGGGGCGAACCTGAAGGTTGCTCCACTCTACTCGCTTGGAGAAGATCAGAGAAGTGCGCTGAGAGACATCCTAGATCGCGAAATGTCGGCCGGAAGAATTCGACCCAGTAATTCGCCCTACGGATCACCGATGTTCTTGGTACCGAAGAAGGCGAAAGGTCAATGGCGAATGGTCATTGACTACCGAAAGTTAAACGAGGCAACGATACCCGACGCCTATCCTCTGCCTCTGATCGGCCAGATAACCGAAGAGCTGGGAAGAGCGAGGTACTTCAGCAAGTTAGACCTAATTGGGGCTTATCAACTCCTACGAGTAAAGGAAGGTCATGAACACCTGACAGCGTTCAGGACACAGTACGGTATGTTCGAGTCTCTTGTTGTCCGGGATGGCCTACGGAATGCTCCCGCTGTGTTTCAGCACTTCTTGAATGAAAGTTTTCGAGAGCTGCTGGGAAAGGGAGTAGTAGTCTACATAGATGATATACTCATCTACGGTCAAACGTTGGAAGAACTGAGGGGAACTACGGCGAAGGTGTTTGAAGTGCTTCAGAGGTCGAATTTGTTCGTTAAAGCTAGTAAGTGCGAGTTTGAGAGAGATTCGGTAGTCTTCCTGGGGTTCGTGGTTTCACAGAGGGGAATTTCCAGTAACCCGGATTACATCGATGCTGTCGTATCTTTTCCCCGTCCTAAGAACTTGCGAGAGAGTAGGGGATTTATGGGAGTTGTCAGTTATTATCGGCGTTTTGTCCCCAACTTCTCCAAGATTGCTAAACCGATCAATGACCTCACCAGGAAAGATGTGCCGTTTGTTTGGGGAGTAGAGCAGGAAAGAGCCTTTAAAGAATTGAAGGATAGGATGTGTAGGGCGCCAGTATTGGCTCACTTTGACCCTTCATTGAAGACACTACTACAAACAGATGCGTCGTTCTTCGGCTGGGGTTTCATAATTTCGCAGGTGAACGAGTTAGGACAAGAGCATCCGGTGGCCATCGAATCCGGAGCGTTCCAGGCGGCGCAGTTAAACTATACGGTAGGGGAAAAGGAGTTACTAGCTATCGTTGAGGCTTTCAGAAGAAGGAGACACTTACTGCTACAGGTAGAGACTACAGTTCTCACAGATCACTTGAATTTGACGTATTGGATGGAACCTAAACAACTTAGCCCTAGACAGGGTAGGTGGGTCGAAGAGCTCTCTAACTTCAGGTTCAAAATGGTGTATCGACCGGGAAAACAAGCTACACTGCCGGACGGACTGTCGAGAAGAGCAGACTACCACTCAGGAAAAGGAAGTACTATGATGCAGGAGAGCAATCTTATTTAAGGTTTGCCGAAGTTCGACGAACTTGACGACACTAGCTCTGGGTTACAACACCTACTTCGAGCCTTACAGGGTACGAAGGAAGTACGAGAAAACGACCTCATTGATCCTATGGATTTGATAGTTGGAACACAGGAAGACGAAGAGGTGGAGGAGGTTAGAGAAGAATTACTGGGGGTAACCTGTGCTAAGTGCTCTCATCTGACATGTCACGATAATGTGCAGGAACCAGAGTCGGTCACCGAACTACGCCGTACCTCGCGGTCTCCCTTAATACTTCGTGGGGGATGGAATTCAAGGGGGTTCCTTACGTTCGATGGTCGTACTTATGTGCCAGACTACGCCGATGCTCGACTAAAGATCATGAAGATGCGACATGACTCGGTTCTAGCTGGTCACCCAGGCTCAGCGAAGACTCTCGAGCTAGTCCTACGGGACTACGTTTGGGTGGGAGTAAGAAAGGATGTCGAAGATTACATCGCTGGATGCGCGGTATGTCAGAGAGCAAAGACTAACAGACAGAGATCCCATGGAGAGCTTAAACCACTGGAGGTGGCTACGAAGCCATGGTCCAGTATTTCGATGGATTTCATTGAAGAGCTCCCTAATTCCCATGGATACAATTCCATCTTAGTAGTAGTGGACCGGTTGACCAAATGGGCCATTTTTATCCCAACTACGACGAAGTTAACCGCAGCTGGCCTATCAGAGTTGATAATGGACTATGTGGTGGCTCAGCATGGATTACCGGAGAACATAGTATCGGACAGGGGATCGAAGTTTACCTCGAAGTTTTGGAAGAACTTGACCGATAGTCTCGGGATAAGACTACATCTTTCTACTGCGTACCATCCACAGACTGATGGGCAGACCGAACGAACCAATCAGTCCTTGGAACTATACCTTAGAATCTTCACTTCTTATCAGCAGAACGATTGGTCGAAGCTACTAGCTCGAGCTAGTTTCGCCTACAATAACACCCACCATTCCGCGATTAATAAGACACCATTCTATGCGAACTATGGATATCATCCTCTGTGGGCGGAAGAGATCAAGGCCAGTGAAGTCGAAGTACCCGCTGCTACGGTGGTGGTGAAAGACTTGACTGAAATACACAAGGATTGTATCGAAGGAATTGAGAAAGCTAATGAGAGGTACGCCGAAGGATACAATAGGAAACACCGGGCTACGCCGAACTTCGTGGAAGGAGACCTAGTGATGCTGTCGTTAGAGAATATTAAGACGAAGAGACCAATGAAGAAGTTAGATGTTAAGCAAAGTGGGCCGTACAAAGTAGTACGGCAGGTGGGTTCTCATGCTTGTAAATTGGAACTACCAGGAACAATGGCAGGTATCCATGACGTATTCCATGTCTCCTTGCTCCGTCCTTATCATCCTCCAGTATTCCCTGGTCAGCAAGCTGAACCACCTGGCCCAGTAGAGGTAGATAATGTAGGGGAATCGTGGGAGGTAAAAGACATTGTAGACTCTAGAGTAAATAAGAGATCAGGAAAGTTAGAGTACTTGGTGGAGTGGTTAGGTTACGAAGGAACAGACGACTCAGTATCATGGGAACCAGTGGAGAACGTCGATGGAGCTGACGACATATTGGCGAAGTTCCACGAACTTCACCCTACTAAGCCGAAGGAAGGGCGACTGCGAAGGGCTAGGAGATAGAACGTACTGCATACAACATAGGATTACAGCTACGTACCGCTCACTTGTCCTTACTCTTACCCTTACCTTTTCCTTTTCCTTTCTCCTTCGATCTACTCGGTCCCGCGGGATTGGTGTGGAGGCTACCGATGACCGAAGGTAGATCGAGAGTCTCAGACGGGAACGCAGTAGAGAGAGAAGCATTCCATGCCCGATTCATAGCCCCGAAGAAGTCACCGAAGTCCTGGACATCTCGAGCAGCTTGCATAGGCTTGAGAGCAGAGGAAAGGTAGACTTGGAGTTTATTCCCAATAGGCTTGAGAGCAGAGGAAGATATGAGAGTGGAGGTTTGTCACGGCCGTCGAACAACTACTTCTTAATAGACCGACGGTCGACGAACCTCGGCTAACTTCACGCTCTGAGTCGATGTCTCACCCAACCAGGAGGGCGCAGACGTCGAAAGGGGTGTAACTACGGCGTACTTCGGCGTAGTTACTCTAACTAGGGTTTTGATCTACTGATGGCGATGTATCTTGATTTATAGCTATCTCTATCTGTCTTTTACTACTGACAACAATCAAGGATCGCTGAAGAACTTCAGCGATCTTCTCAGCTAATATTATCTACTCCTCCTAGACGTTCATCCAACCCTCTCGCGCTTTGACGTACTTCAACGCACTTCGTCCAACTTCCCCGAGCCCTCGGCCATCCTCTTCCTCCTTCGACTAACTCCGCCTAACATCGCCGCACTTCTGCTCCCATTGTCCCTACTTAGCCTAACTCCGCCTAACATCGCCGTACTTCTGCTCCCATTGTCCCTACTTAGCCTAACCCCGTCTAACTTCGCCGTACTTGGTGTCAGAAGTCCTGAGTTACGTGTAGAGTAAAGAGGTTAAGGCGTGATGGGGTTTTGATGGCCAAAGGAGGGTCATTGTTGGTGGAGTAATCGAGGTGTCACGACGTAGTTCGTGACAGTCGCCCCCTTCTTTAGCCGCGAACGTCCTCGTGAGCGATTACACCTCTGTCGTGGCAAGAGAACTTAGCAGCGTAGTACCCCATTCTCTCCCTCCCCATGACCATCCTCCACTCTTCTGCTCTTTGCGCCGCACTTCGTAGTTGGGCCTCCTTTCACTCCAGAACCCGACAATGAGACTCCCCTAACTTCGTCGAGGTTTGCCGTAAGAAGCCCTGTGTCTTTTGTAGGTGAGACACGCTTCCTGAATGGCAGCCGAACAACACCGTTGTTTGTCGAAGTAACCCTCGCTTATATTGAGATGAGACACTATAGCGTGGGAATTTTGATCGTCCCTGCGATGCCTTTTGTTGATGAAACGCGAAGTTTGCTGCATGTTGACGACGAGGGTTTAGGTTTGATTATACTAAATACTGAGCAGTTCGTCGAGCTTCTCTCTTTTTCCCATCTGCTTTCAAAACTTTCTATCTCTCTTACCTAGAAAACAGATTTGTTACCTTGAATCATCGCCTCGAGTTTTATTCTCATTTAAATATCTTAACGTCATGGCCCCTTCTACTCCTACATCTAACCCTTTCGCCGCCATGAGGAACTTTGGTGGTATGGTGTCGTCTGCTCGTGAGTTATTCCTCGACACTTACCTTACTTCGCCGGACTTGGCTGATGTTCAGTTTCCTTCGGCGACAGATCTCGCCAAGTCTCCTCCCTCGGCCTCGGCACCCTTTCTTTGGGGGAGCCGTCTGGCGATGTCCCGCCTCCTCGCTCCGCTTCTCCTCCCGCCGGTCCTCCCGCTGGTTCTCCCTCTGCTTCTCCTCCTCCTGGTTCTCGCTCTGCTTCCCCTCCTGCCGCCAGCCCTCGCCGCAGGACGCCCGCCTTTCGTCCTGGTGAGTCTCCGTCCTCCTCCGACCAGGAGTCGCTCAGTGGTTCGGAGTCGGACGATCAGTCAGACTTCGAAGGAAAAGGGGGTGATTATAGTGATGAGGATGATAGAATCGTGTCGGAGGGTGAAACCGAGTTAGAGGAACACTCGGATGATGATATGGTGGCGGTTAGTGTAGAGGACAACAACGTAGATAGTCCTGAGCGTGAGTTCTTCGTCCAACCTCTCACACCTTCGCCGAACTTGGCCTTGTTTATCTGTTCTTTAGCTCTCCAAGACATTGCTAACTCGCAGCCGCTCCTGCCCCTCCCCCTGCTCAAATTGTGGGCCAGAAACGACGCCGTTCCCTCTCCTCTTCTTCTTCTTCCTCTTCTTCTTCTTCCTCTTCTTCTTCCTCTTCCGGGGTTCTCCCCCCCCCCAACGCCATCGCCGCTGCCGCCGCTGCTGCCGCTGCTGCCGCCGCCCGCCCTGCCGCCGCCATCGCTCCTGCTGCCGCCGCCGGTCCTGCTCCCGCCGCCGGTCCTGCTCCCGCCGCCGGTCCTGCTCCCGCCGCCCCCGTCGCTGCTCCCCCCCCTTCTCCCAGAGGGGAGCCTTCGCCCAAACGGGTGAAGAGATCACTGCGGGAAGAAGAGTACTTGTGGGAGAAGATGAAGTCCGAGCCTGGTCGTTGGATCGCGGTTGGTGTTGACGAAGCGTGTGATCGTTGCCGGTGAGTCCACCTATTCGTACTACGCCGAAGTTACTCCTGCTAATTAGTAGACGTGAGATTATCACGTATAATCGTCCAAACTGGCCCTGCCTCAAGGCAGTCAGGCCACACAACAAGGCCCTCCGTTGTGCTTCATGCACGTCTGGCCCCTGCTCCTTCTGTCCCGTTTCCTCTGCCCGGGACATCCCGCCCCGTCCCTTCGACGCTTCTCCTCTCCCCCCTCCCCAGACTCCAGCGTCTGTCCCCCGTTCGCGGGTACCGTCTTCGTCTCTCCGGTCGGTTCGCCGTACTTCGCCGGACCTCCGCCCGTCGCCTCCGTCGCCGTCGCCCTTCGCTCCTGTGGCCGGCCCATCACGTCTCCCGGCTGTTCCTCCTTCGTCCTCTCGCCGTCCTTCGGCCTCTGCTCCTTCGGCCTCCCGTCCTTCGGCCTCTCGTCCTTCGGCCTCTCGTCCTTCGGCGCCACGTCCGTCCTCTCCAGTGGTAGCTTCTCCTCCGGCTCACAGCACCCGAAGTCGGCGTCCTTCTGTTCCTCCGGCCTCTTCGGCGGCCCCTCCCGTCACCCCTCCCTCTGCTTCCCAGAAGACACCGAAGTCTTCTTTAAAGAAATCAAAAGGGAAATCTAAAGAGAAGGAGGTTGCCTTCAATGATGGTGATGTGGAAGGTGAAGATACTCAGCGTGCTGGTCCCTCTGCTCCCCGGTTGTCCCTCGTCCACCCTCGTATCTCCCTGGACGTCCGTATTCCTGAGGACGAAAAGGAATTCGCCACTTATCGTTCTCTCGTCCTCGGTCTCACTACCCAGCTTGAGGCCGCCCGAAATGATACATCTCTCCTGCTTGACTTCTCTTCTCGTCAAGCTAACGCTTTAAACAATCTTACTGCGGCGTTAGTAGATGTAGTCAACACTGGGGCTCTGGACGACGAAGCAAGGACAAGGTTAGCGGACGTCTCTCGCCGAAGCCTTACTGAGATAGCCGATGTTCGCCGAAGACTGTTCGACACTCCCTTCCTAGTCACTCCTATGGCGTATGAGCCACCACCGTCCCTTGACTGGTTAGGTCGCCGTAGTAGTTCTCGTGTCCCAGCTTCCGCCCAGACTGCTCTCGACCTCCTCAGTCTTCCCTTCGAGTGTCTACGGACCATACGTTCTCTGTGGAGGACTCCAAGCATGCAAGCTGCTCGAGATGTCCAGGACTTCGGTGACTTCTTCGGGGCTATGAATCGGGCATGGAATGCTTCTCTCTCTACTGCGTTCCCGTCTGAGACTCTCGATCTACCTTCGGTCATCGGTAGCCTCCACACCAATCCCGCGGGACCGAGTAGATCGAAGGAGAAAGGAAAAGGAAAAGGTAAGGGTAAGAGTAAGGACAAGTGAGCGGTACGTAGCTGTAATCCTATGTTGTATGCAGTACGTTCTATCTCCTAGCCCTTCGCAGTCGCCCCTCCTTCGGCTTAGTAGGGTGAAGTTCGTGGAACTTCGCCAATATGTCGTCAGCTCCATCGACGTTCTCCACTGGTTCCCATGATACTGAGTCGTCTGTTCCTTCGTAACCTAACCACTCCACCAAGTACTCTAACTTTCCTGATCTCTTATTTACTCTAGAGTCTACAATATCCTTTACCTCCCAAGACTCTCCCACATTGTCTACTTCTACTGGGCCAGGTGGCTCAGCTTGCTGACCAGGAAATATTGGAGGGTGATAAGGACGGAGCAAGGAGACATGGAATACATCATGGATACCTGCCATCGTTCCTGGTAATTCCAATTTACAAGCATGAGAACCTACCTGCCGTACTACCTTGTACGGCCCACTTTGTTTAACATCTAACTTCTTCATTGGTCTCTTCGTCTTAATATTCTCTAACAACAGCATCACTAGGTCTCCTTCCGCGAAGTTCGGCGTAGTCCGGTGTTTCCTATTGTATCCTTCGGCGTACTTCTCATTAGCTTTCTCAATTCCTTCGATACAATCTTTGTGTATTTCAGTCAAGTCTTTTACCACCACCGTAGCAGCGGGCACTTCGACTTCGCTGGCCTTGATTTCTTCAGCCCATCGAGGGTGGTACCCATAGTTCGCATAAAATGGTGTCTTATTTATCGCAGAATGATGGGTGTTGTTGTAGGCGAAGCTAGCTCGAGCAAGCAGCTTCGACCAATCGTTCTGCTGATAAGAAGTGAAGATTCGAAGGTAGAGCTCTAAGGACTGGTTGGTTCGTTCAGTCTGTCCATCAGTCTGCGGATGATATGCAGTAGAGAGATGTAGTCTTATCCCGAGACTATCGGTCAAGTTCTTCCAAAATTTCGAGGTAAACTTCGATCCCCTGTCAGACACTATGTTCTCTGGTAGCCCATGCTGAGCTACCACATAGTCCATTATCAACTCGGATAGGCCAGCTGCGGTTAACTTCGTCGTAGTCGGGATAAAAATGGCCCATTTGGTCAACCGGTCCACCACTACT